TAGCAGAGCAAGACTGGTTTAGGGGCTGGAAAATGTCCAGTTGTCTTGAAAGTGGGACATACCTCTTGGAAGTGGCCACACAACATCCATCAATGTTGCATGATACAACAGTATCTTCTACATATGGTGGTTGACCATGCTTTTTGTGCTTTACCTGGCCACAAAGACTGTAGAAACTTTCTCTTGCTAATACGTCTGCAGAGATCAGCTCATTCAGCCCTCCTTCTACTCACAGGGGATCCACAATTCCAAGATGGGGAAGGAGGGAAGGGGACAACAGTGGTCAGCACGACCATTTTAAGGCTGTGAATGTAGTTTGGGCCAGTTTTATTTATCTGTTATACATTTTGCTGTCTCATGTGTTGTTCTCTCTCACTGTGTAGGCCTCATTTACAGGTTCAAACTTAAACAGGGGAAGTTTAGATTAGATATAAGGAAGTTCTTCACTGTGGGGGTGGTGAGGCGCTGGAATGGGTTGCCTGGCGGTGCTCAAGGCCAGGTTGGACAGAGCCTTGGGTGACATGGTTTAGTGTGAGGTGTCCCTGCCCATGGCAGGGGGGTTGGAACTTGATGATCTTAAAGTCCTTTCCAACCCTAACTATTCTATGATTTTTGAGCTCTCCTTTCTACTGCAGTCACCATGGAGAGTTTTCCTGCCAAAGAGATGCCGGCTGGTTTTCCATATTGGGTCTGTGACTGTACAGTGTCTTACTGCCCAGGTTCTCTCTATAGTTAACTTTCTGGCTTCTCTGGTGATCCAAAGTTGGACCTTGCAAAATGAAATGCCCAGGAAACCTAGAAGACAAACAGCTATAGAAAGAAGAGCCTTGTTCTTATCTCTTCACCTTTCCACATTTTCCATCCATTTTTCTATCCCTTTCGCTGCATTTTCTTCTACTGTTCCTGTCCCGAAGGTTCTCTTGCTGCTGGATGATCTTTCATTGCTCCTACCCTCCTGACACTCAGCAGCTGCTGGTACTACACAGAATTCAAATCTCGAGGCTGCGTGACTGTCGGTTCCTCCCTTGGTGGGACAATCAGAAGATCCCTGGGCAGATTTAATGATAGGGTACAAAAGCATTAAGCACTCTGAACTTTTTATTCATGTAGACATTTTTAAGAAACTGAAGAATACCACAGGAAACCAATATTGTGATAATGCCTCTGCTTTTTCACCCTTTTGAAATATTTAGCCTCTCTGAGTTTGGGGTTTGTTTTTTTTTTTTTCTTTGGTTTTGGGTTCTTTTTAGTTTTTCTTTTGCTTTGCTGGCTATTACTGGTGGAGCTTGTTTTTGAAACAGGCATTTTAGAGGAAGCTGACGGAAAGAAACAGAAAATATTTTGTGAACAGAAAAATATAGTTACAAAATCAAGGCAGAAGATGCGTAATTCAGGGGCTTTTCAGTGCTCTGAAAACTGCTTTGATTAACAGTACTTACAGAAATCAGACTGTAGTGGTAACAAGCAATTTGAGTGGAGGCAGATTTCAGCTTGCTTCCTGCAGCATAGGTCAGTTTGCACAGTTGGTATTTTTCACGGCAGTGGGCAGAACTATTCTAAAGTCCTTTGAAACAGAAGTGTGAACAAGTTATTGTTTTAAATCAGTTTCTGGCACTGGGTGACATTTTAAATCTTCTGTGGCGGAATGGATCTGGTATTGAGGGAAGATCCAATTTCTATGTTACACATCAGAAAAACTAAAATCAAGTACTTGGGCTACTGCCTTAACGGTCAAAAGACTAGTATGGCCTCCATCTCCATTCCCTCGCAGTGTGACTTTCACGAGGAGCTAGGATCTCTCCCTGTCTTTGTCTTACGGTGGAGGATTCTTGGATGCACTGAGCCTACTCTGCCCTGTCACTGGGTGTGCTGGACAGCCTAACGTGGCGGAGTCACCTCTGCAGCCCCTGCACCCTGCTGTGGGCAGTGCTCTGATGGAGCGCTCTGGTGGGGAGAGGATGCAACAGTTATGCGTGGATGAAAGGAAAGGGTTAGGCACAGTGCTGGTACAAAGTTGCCATAGAACTGTTGTGGTTTCTGTAGCAAATAGCCGTGACATTAAGCAGTCAAATCGCTCCTCCCGCATGCTGGTGTCTTGCGCATCACGGGAACCTTGTAAGTCAGCTTTCTGTGTGGAAATAGGAAAGGCAAGCAGCGAGGCACTCAGAGAGGACCTACCAGTTTTGTTTCAGTGACCGAGCTGGAGAGAGCCACCTCCATGAACAAGCTGGGGATCTCCCTGTACCTAGCAGTTCCTGTGCTTTTCCAAAAGGGAGCAGTAGCTGGTCCTGGATGAAGCACAATAAATACTTGGGAGCTAACATTACAATTCTTCCTGCTTTGGTAACCAGTGGGAATTAGCGTCACAGAGAAGGACTTTTATTTTCAGATTAAGCTGAGTTCAGGCCAGAGGTATGAAAGTTGATAATAGTCTATTTGTCTAATATATATTATTCTTTTTCCTGACAGTGTACCTGTTTTCATTTGAGATATAATAGGGGTACTTATTATTGCTAGCACCTTTCTTGTATAGCTCCTTTTCTCAGAAAAGCTCTGTAGAATTAGCCTTCCCTAGAAGAGACTTTCTGCCTATTCAGTGTATGGCCAAACTAAGGCACAGGATAGTAATAAGTTGCAAAGTGTCACTGTAGGCTGGGAACAAATCAAGGAAAAGAGCCCAGCTTTATCGTGCTCTTAGTCCCTGCACCTTGTATAGGACAAGCAGCCAGTTTCTGAGGCCAGCCAGCCCCCAGAAGGCATCACTGATAGCTGCTGTCCTTCCTATGTCAGAGCTCTGCCACCCAACTCACCAGACGTCTCTGCTCTTCTTTCTTTTGCAGGAGGCCTGGGAGAACAGTCTCTTATGTCAAGTGAGAACGCCACTGCAACCGATCGTAGTAACAAAGCAGTTAAAAAGGGTAATGTGGTACCCCACCCAGACCTTTGGGTATTTTTTTATTTACTTTTTTTATCCCCTGTAAAACCATGTTTGTCCTGTGTACATCTGTGTGCCTCTGTGCCTGGGAGACCAGCCCTGCCCAGGCATCTGCATTTGTTGCTGTTGGTGGACTCTGCAAGGCTGGGTTTGCCTTGTAGGGTGTGGTGTGTTGACCCCAGCCAAGCACCCACACAGCTGCTTGGTCACTACCCCCCTCCTCTGGCAGGATAGGTGAGAGAGCAGGAAAAGCAAAAGTGAGAAAACTCTTTGGTTGAGATACAGTTTAGTAAGTGAAGGAAAGAGGGGAAAAAAACAAGTGATATAAAGGCAACTGCTCACACCTACCCACAAGCAGACTGATGCCCAGGTAGTTTCTGAGCAATAGGTATCTTGGGAGCCAAAACCCAGCAGATTTTATTGCTAATCATGATGACACATGGTATGGGATATCCATCTAGCCAATTTGGGTCAGTTTGTCCGAGCTGCATTCTTTCCCAGCTTATTGCCAATCCCATGTCTACTTGCCCGGGGAGTGGACAGGGCTCAGCAGAATAACGAAAAAAAAGCCTTGATGCTTTGCAAGCAGTTTTCAGCAATAGCTTGAACACTGGTGTGTTACCAACACTTTTTTACCACAAGTCCAAAACATAGTGTGTTATGGGCTGCTATGAGGACAGTTAACTCGATTCCAGCCAGACCCAACCCATACAGGTAGCTACAGCTGTCACCAGGACAGCAAAAACATTTTACTCCAAGGCAGAGAGCATAATGCCAGCTGGCTGCTCCCTGCTGTAGCGATGCTTCAGCTGAACCAGTCTAATCTCCTCTTCCCCTGGGGAAGCAGGGCTATCACCCAGGCCAAGTTTTTCTTATCTGTGTAGGTAAGGTGTTGCTTATAGGATTGGTCCAGACCTGTGAACTTAAGAGGCATTCCCTCAGGGTTGCCCAGTTCTATGCAAGATGTTTTCAACCTACTGCATGCAGGAGGGACTGTTGTTTTCCATGTATAGACAGAAGCACTAAGGCAGAGAACCATATAGTGGGTTAGTGCAGGAGAGAGACATTTGTACTCATAGCTGCTGTGTTCATAGCCCAGTGCTGTATTTCCTCATCAGAGCTGCTTATGTCTTCTGAGCTGGTGGCAGGCCTGAGGCAGTGAAGCAGTGGGCAAGAGCACTTAAGGAAGGTGCTTCTGCTTGCAAAGCTGTGTTGGTGCTTCTGGTGGCGTGTTTTCACTTAGATAGGCTGGTGCTGCTGTTGGCATAAAGCTGGTATGTCTCTGCTGTTCAGATGAGTCCAAGACTCCTGTGTAAGTTTCAGAGAGCAGCAAGAACTGTTTTATCGAATGTTGCAGATGCAGAGAACTGCCTGGGCTGTGGGCAGTGTAAAGAGTCTCCCACCCACAGCTGGTGTGAAGAAACTTCTGAGTGCTGTTCATCATGAAGGGAGGGGGGATTTTATGAAAGGATCTCAGTTGTCCCAGGCTTAGTGATAGTACAAGTCAGTAAGAGAGGTTATGTCCAGGTAGACTAAGCATTAGAAAGGCTGCATGGCTTTATTTTTCACTGAAGAAAGCCTCTTCATGCATGCCACTTGGCAGTGACTGTAAGCAGTGCTTCCTCAAGCATGCTGTCCAGATTTTTCTGTCCCCTGGTGGTATGGCATCTGCTGCCTGCCCTCCCCAGGTCCCTGCTAGGAGGGTGTGTCAGGCCTCTCCAAGGACCCACTGCAAATCTAAGTTGTTGAAGGCAGAAAATTTCAGCAGGAATCAGGAGCAGTCAAGAGCTGCTGCAGGACTGGTGCAGAGAATTCACACAAGAAAGTGTGTGGCTACCAAGGAATGGAAGCGTTGGTGGGGCAGAAGTGTGGACGCAGGGTCCTCTGTGCAGAACTCCAGGTGGATGAGAGTGTGGGGCTAATGACTCCTCGCTTGGCTTTGCTGGCAGGAGCTGTCTATGCACAAAACCATGCAGATTCTGGACAGCCCAAGGAGCAGTTTGTGACTGAGAGACAGGTATCCACGAGACTACTTCTGTCTCAAGACCTCTCCCTAACTCCAGCTGTGGCCCTTGTAATGCAGCTGCAGTACATCTGTGGGATATGTGTATGAAAAGAAGGGGAGGGTGGTTCTTATTTCATTGAGGGAACCATCAGTCCCAGAGCACTTGCCTTCCAGGTCCAGCAGCTGGTCTGGGGATAGGGCAGCTTCTGAAATGCTAGGTGCATCCGGTATGCCAGGGATGTGCTCAGGAGGAAGAGGAACAAAAAGCAAATTCCCAGCTTTGTCCTACAGCTCAGAACAAAGCCTTCAGCAGGAAGGGCTGGACCTGGTGAAGCAGGAAAGGAGGGTTTGAAGTTCATTCTTTCCATCCCCCTGCACTGCCTTAATTTCCTTCCCATTGTTTTGATCCCCTCAGCCTTGACAGTAGTGGTTTGCTTACCAGTGCTTCCGCTGCAGGGATGGTGGGAGCTATCTAGTCACTGGAGGAAGGTCTCAGCAGGGCTTGTGCTTTTTCATAACCTGGCAGCCCATGTCCCTGACTTGGGAGGCAAAGCTGTAGCCTGTCTTGCTGATTTCCATATAAATCACAAGACCACAACTGGAGCTTAGATCTCTCGGAGCTTCAGAGAGATCACCAGTGCCAAGGAGACACCACCACCAGTGCTGCCTCTGGAGATGACCAGAGTTCCCCTTGGTGTGACCCTTTAGGTGAGCACTCTCTGTGGATGTAGCAACCCTTGTACTCTTATTATTCCTCTGCCCAAGTCCAGCTGAGGAGTTGGCTGTGCAATACAGGCAGCTTATTTAAGATGCGGTGTCTACACAGTCGTTACACATGCTAGTAAAGCCCAGCCAGTCTACAGTTGCTTGGAGATTTTGGGTCACCCATGGCACAGCAAATGGAGGCGAGCAGCCAGAAAGTTCTGAATGGAGGTTATTTTCTGCTGGGTCAGTCCCACACCACGTTCAAGTGTAATGTGTAAGCATAACCAGTATCTGAGCAGAGCTGCAGAAGCATGAGAGCAGGCTAAGGTACAGGGTCTGCCTAGAAGCCTGTGTGAATCCTCAGGCAGGTTTTACGACCAGCACTGAGAACCACACAAGCAGGGCTCTTCTGCCTTTTTAGCAAGAAATGAGACATATTCTACTTTCCCTTTTGTATTTTTGCTCCTTCTATTAAAATGAAGAGATTCAGCACGGATGGAGATTTGTGCTAAGTGTAGAATGTCTCAGGTTTTCCACCTCGAGTATCCCTTCTCCAGCAGAGACTGATCAGTATGTTTCTAAACCACCCAAGGTCTAACGTGAAAACAAACACTAATACTTTTCGGCCTTGAGTATAGGTTTCAGTCTAAGGGCCCTATTTTCTTCCTCCGAGACCAATTCGAATGAGTAGCTGTTGCTGCTGTGAAGCTAGCCCTGATAGAAGAAACCTTTCTCTGCAGATCTGGATGAATAGGGCATGTTGAGAATATACAGTGGCGTCTGTACTTGTTTAACCCCCCTTCCTCCTGTTCTCCTTGTTTAAGTGCTGTGTTGCCATGTATGAAGTTGCTGTTGGAGAGGGGAGCGTGTCCCTTTATGCTTCTCTGAGAGAGTAGGTTTGTCATAGTGTGTATGAAGGCTCCATCCAAGAAGGGCCAGGTTGCTGCAGATTAACCGTCTCTTAAGTCCCATACAAAGGACTGGCAAATATGACTATGGCTTCTGAGTTGGGTTAACATCTTGCTTTTTCTTTTTTTCTTTTTCTGAAGCTCCGGGGTATTACCTGAGGGCTGCACATGGAACTAAAGAGGATTTAAACAGTGTTGCCACTGTGTCTTGCAGATGGCAGGCAGAGCACAATGCTTGCAAGGAGGCCGAAGAGGAAGGAATATAAAGATGAGTCTGGGATGGATGAACGCTCCTCTCCCAGAGTGCGCAGGGCAACCACGTCCAGAGCTGAGAGGATCTGGCCAGGGGGAGTCATTCCCTATGTGATCGGAGGGAATTTCACTGGTCAGTAGTGAAAACATTGTTCTCTGTTTGGTCAGCGGTGAGTGTCTCAAAATGTGAGGGAGATCTCAGGAGCAGAGTTTTCCCACAAATAACTCTCCTGGGGCACAGTGGGCATGTAGTTGCACAAGGAATCGTGCAATGTGGAGGCTTGAGACTGAAATGAGATGTTTCTTTTGGAGTCCAAGAAACAATTGGGTGACTTGGTCACTTTTCTTGATTGCTTCAGGCACCAGCATCTGTGAGTTGTGCTCACCCCCTGTGTTCCCAGAAAGGGATCCTCCCTGCTGTTGGAAGAGCAGGAGCAGGAGTAACCTGGGTTGCTTTCTGAATCCCCACTTGGATAACTTTCCCTGAGCGCTCTGCTTCCTGACCTGCTGTTTTTTGGGTACCAACTTCAGGGTCTTCTGTAGGTGTGTGAAGGGGAGGATCAGTGAGCTGTGTCCCATGGTGGATGAGGAGCTCTCCAAAGTATCCTTTCCAGGATCTTTGTAGCATCTCCTGGGCACTGTCCAAACTAAGGTGTCTCTTGGGGTGCAGCATATCACTTGCCTGTGCCTCTTGCAAAGCAGACCACCTCTCCATAGCTCAGTGGTTCCCCGCAGGATTTGTTTTCTTGACTCATGGATGACAAATGCTCTGTGCCTCAGTGAAGCCAGCTCCTTCCTGTCTCCCCCAGGCTGCCTCCACCTTCTCCCACTAGGATCCAGCAGGCCTTATTGACTTAGGCTCCCATGATGTACTTTGTCCCAGCGCCCAAACTGCTGCCAGAAGTCTGCAAAGCCCCAGTGGACCAGTTTGTTCCCCTCCTACAAAGGGAGGGGCTCATGCAACCTGGCAGGATATTGAGCAGCCTGCTAGCCACAGCTGTCCCCCCACACGTGTCAGAGAACAGCCATCCCCATCCCTCAGGGTCTGATGAGAGTGTTCTCTGTGTTACATGTGTCCCACTGCCCTAACCGGTCCAGAGCAGGTAATACCATCGTTTCATTTGGGAGACTCTGTAAGAAGCAGCTCTTGCCGTAGGACAGTTCTCTCATGTTCAGTTTGGTGTTTTGCCTCAGCTTAATCCCACCCTGGAGCGCATCTCTCTATTCCTTGTGGCTTTCTGATGTACTTCTGGCCTTTCTCCACTCTCTAGTCCCTCTTGAGAGTGGCAGCTTGCTCTGCAGCCCTGTGTGTACCAGAGGCTCTGCTGGAAAGAAAATACTGTGGGAAAGCCGCCTGAGGCTGTGTACCACCACTGGGGCATCACTGCCCAGCTCTCTGAATGGCTGTTCAGGATGCTACTGAGTGACTGCTGGAGATGGTCCGTTCTCTGAGGGGACATTCCATTTCCTGTCTTCTTGCAAGTGTGAAACAGGCATAATACCCTGCTTCACAGGTGAGCTTTCCCTCAGTTCAAGCATAATAGAGCAGCGTATCTCTACAACTTCTTATACTGTCCTGAGACTGCTTCTAGCTCCTATATAATTCTTGCTTCTAATTTCAAAGATCAACTGCCTGATGACAGCTTTGCCTTAGTTTTGAGGAGCATCTGTAGCGCTCATGAGGTTTCTGAGTCTTGAAAGATGTATGTGGTCATGGTACATTGCACCATGAGAGTAAATTTGGCACACCACTAAGCAGCTGGTGCACAGATCAGATCAACAAGCAGCTCTGTCAGAATGACCTCTACATAGTGAGGTGACATTTCTCAATGCAGAAATATCAGTGTGCTTAACCAAGTTTGCTACCTCTTTAATTAGAGCAACAAATTCATCAAGCACAAGGAGAGGAAAGGATCATAGAATCATAGAATAGTTAGGGTTGGAAAGGACCTTAAGATCATCTAGTTCCAGCCCCTCTGCCATGGGCAGGGACACCTTACGCTAAATCATATCACCCAAGGCCTTATCCAGCCTGGTCTTGAACACTGCCAGGGATGGAGCATTCACAACCTCCCTGGACAACCCATTCCAGTGCCTCACCACCCTAACAGGAAAGAATTTCCTCCTTATATCCAATCTAAACTTCCCCTGTTTAAGTTTTAACCCGTTACCCCTTGTCCTATCACTACAGTCTCTAATGAAGAGTCCCTCTCCAGCATCCCTATAGGCCCCCTTCAGATACTGGAAGGCTGCTATGAGGTCTCCACTCAGCCTTCTCTTCTCCAGGCTGAACAGCCCCAACTTCCTCAGCCTGTCTTCATACGGGAGGTGCTCCAGTCCCCTGATCATCCTCGTGGCCCTTCTCTGGACTTGTTCCAACAGTTCCATGTCATTTCATGTTGAGGACACCAGAACTGCACACAATATTCCAGGTGAGGTCTCACGAGAGCAGAGTAGAGGGGCAGGATCACCTCCTTCAACCTGCTGGTCATGCTCCTTTTGATGCAGCCCAGGATATGGTTGGCTTTCTGGGCTGTGAGCGCACACTGCCGGCCCATGTTAATTTTCTCATCAACCACCACCCCCAAGTCCTTCTCCACAGGGCTGCTCTGAATCTCTTCTCTGCCCAACCTGTAGCTGTGCCTGGGATTGCTCTGACCCAGCTGTAGGACCTTGCACTTGGCATGGTTAAACCTCATGAGATTGGCATCAGCCCACCTCACAAGTGTGTCAAGGTCCCTCTGGATGGCATTCCTTCCCTCCAGCATATCAACTGAACCACACAGCTTGGTGTCATCGGCAAACTTGCTGAGGGCGCATTCAATCCCACTGTCCGTGTCAGCGATGAAGATGTCAAACAAGACTGGTCCCAACACTGATCCCTGAGAGACGCCACTCATCATGATACAGTAAATTAGTGCTGTAGTTGGAAGTAGGTCCCAGATACCTAGAGATGTTTACAGGTGTAAGATTGACTGTTGGAAAGATTGACTGTGCCTCCATCCTGATGAAGTCCACTAGAGATTTTCCAGAAAGCTGGGCCTTCACTGTTTGCTTTTCTTGGTTTTCCTTTTCAGGAACCCAAAGAGCTATCTTTAAGCAAGCGATGAGGCACTGGGAGAAGCACACTTGTGTAACATTTGTGGAGAGAACCGATGAAGAGAGTTTCATTGTGTTCACATACAGAACATGTGGGTAAGTGACACACATATTACCTGCAGCTATGTGTGTTGCACACATCCCTTTCATTGACAAATGGCTTTGTAAGTCCAGCTCTTATCAGAATAGACCAATGGCTACCTGGGGGAATCTGTCACAGAGATGCATCTGTCACTTCCAGTATGGATTGCCAGGATAGTTTAGTATTTACTCAGAAGAAGGTGCTAAGCCTTGCTGAATTCTTTTCCCTGGGTTAACACTTAATTGTATATATGCATTTTTACTGGTATGCACTTAAATATTTTCTTTATACATACACACACGTAGGTACATATAGTATATGCAACTGGCCTGTCCTGGACCCTGCCAGATGCCATCCTCTGTTTTTACAGCTCAGACTTCCTCAATTTACTGATTTGCTCATGAATTTGTGGGTTTTCTTTTCCAGATGTTGCTCATACGTGGGTCGCCGAGGAGGGGGCCCTCAGGCTATATCCATTGGAAAGAACTGTGACAAGTTTGGTATTGTGGCTCATGAGCTGGGTCATGTAGTGGGTTTCTGGCATGAGCACACACGGCCTGACAGGGACCAGCATGTCACGATTATCAGAGAGAACATACAGCAAGGTAAAATAGCACTTTAGGTTATTCCACCTGGCTTTTGGGTGAGTGGAAACATTTCTTGATGGATTCTGGAAAACCCTAGTGGTCTATGAGCTGGGATGGAGAAGAAAAAGTATAGCTCGGCCTTGCCTAGAGTAAGATCAAAATGGTTGGGTGGATAGAGATTTTGGATGTTCAGCTGGAATTGTTGGAACGTAGGAGTATATCCCTTTCATTGTAGGCTACCAGAGGTGGAAGAGGGTTTTTTGCTTGTTTGTTTTTAAGTGATTTGTTTTTTTTTCTTTGTGTTTGGCACCATAGGACAGGAGTACAACTTTTTAAAGATGGAAGCTGGGGAAGTGAACTCACTGGGAGAGACCTACGACTTCGACAGCATCATGCATTATGCTAGGAACACATTCTCCAGGTGATTATCCAAGGTTACATGTCATTGGGAGTATTTTCATTAGTTGTAATTCACTCTGTGAGATACATGGAGTGTACAAGAGGGCCTATGATCTATTGCAGAGATATGTGGAAGTTGCAGTGAATTCTGCTGCATTGCAAAGCTTGAAAAATATGTGAAAAAGCAAGATGGGTGAAGAGAAGTATGGTGTATTCCTGTTTTCTCCTTCCCACTATATCCACCCAGTGTTGTTAATCTCAGAGACCTTCCAAAGCCATGTTAACATGTTTTGCAACCTTTCCAGGCAGAAGGGTTGCAAATCTATGCATATGTATGCCTGTGTGTATCTGCCCACATGCAAGGAGGGCAATGCTAAAACCAGCTTTGAATCTCTTGGTTGTCCGGCTCATGCTTTAGAGTCACAATATTGCCTTCAGAGTCTATAGCAGCTTTGCCAAGGGAGAATTTAAACTCTAGATCATGATCTTTAATTACTTGGATATTTTTTTAGCCATTTATGTGCATGCTTTAAATCATCATCTCTGTACCTCTGTAGTTCTGAGTGACTGGATTCTTCATGGAGGAGTTGTCATTCCTGGCCTAACTAACTGACCAATTTCTGTGCACACTGTTTGCCCTTGACTCCTATCTCACCTCTCCAGATGGAGGGATTTTCTGATTAAGCAGCCTTACTGGACAGAGAGGTGAAATGAACGTAATTAGTTATCTTCTGGATTTAGAATTAGAGTTACTGTATGACCAGCTTCATTTGGCTGCACTACTGGTCCTTCTAAAGAGCTTTCCACCACTACATGTCAGGAGTAAAGTAGATGGGAGGCAGAGCACAAATATTCACACTCTTGAGAACTTTTTGTTGCAAAAAATAAGGGTGTCTTTGCACTTTTTAAATTTTCTCATTCCCCAGTTTTATGGAAGTGCCAAACCTATTAGTTTGTGCTTTTGTTTCTGAAGCTTCGTGTCAACTAGGGGAAAATGATCAAACTTGCCGAAATGCTGCTTATTCTGGCAGGAGGAAATGGTGGCTGGGCAAGAGTGCTTTACAGCCTTCAGAGATTTCTTTGGATCAGATACCCAAAGCAAACAGTTTTTCTTCCCTTGAGGCATCTCCTGGATCCTTCCAGCATTTGCTAGGCTCTAAATGGTTAGAATTGTCTTGCACAAAAGCGGGATTAAGTTATTACTGCCATTTATATTGTAGATGCCTTTGAGTTTGTGTCTCTTGAAAACCAGGGTCCTTCAGAACACTGCTGGGCCAAAAAAGGGATAAAAATGGCAAGAGTCCTTCTAAATTTAAATTGGTGCTTAATAGGATTTTTAATTCTGTTTTCTTTAAGTCCTTTGTCTCTGTAACCCACCCTCACCCCAGTCAGTCTTTGTGCAGTAATTGAACTGAGCACTAAGTGCCTCTGTGGGCTGATTGTGTTCTCACCATAAATAGGCAGTTCTGGGAACAGGCTTTTACTTTACCAAGACCTTTCTTCCCCTAAGAAGAATGATGCTTACTTTGACTGATGAGTAGAAATCTGTGAGTGTATGTGTATCTCCTTCCCACCTTACTGAGTTTTGCAAGTGCTGGCCAATTGCAACCCAAGCTGACAAAAGCATACACCCCATGAAGACAATAAGTTCCAGCAAATTTCATTAAGATCAGTGGCTAGGTATGGGAGATAGTCCCTGCATGACTCAGGGGGAGGGATGTAGTGGGTGTTAATACATTATCAGACGCTAGAAAGTCCATGTAGGAAAAAAGATGGTGCCCCAGCACCCTACCAGTGGAAGTGGGGTGTGAGTGGAAGAGGAAGTGAAGGACGCAGAGCAGTATCTGTGACTTGTCTTGAAGCAACTCTTACATAGCGCTTAGCACAGCCTTGATGTTTTTAACTCTTGTGAATGTTGACAGCAAGTCATATGGTGTTTGCCACGGTCAAACGCTGCTGCAAATCCTGGGTCACTCCTCATTTTCAGTTCACAGCAAACCAAATTTCCCATTAGCATCTGTAGCTAATAGGAATAGGAGTGTGGCACAAGAGACTGTAATGACAATAGTAACAATTTTTTATCATGGGAATTTCTGTTCTATGTCAGAAAGTAAGTTGTCTGCTTTGCAGAATGTGGCTGCAGGCTTATTTCCTGGTGCATTCCTTACAGACATGGCAGCAAATTAAATTGAATGTTGCTGTCTCATTAAACGATTTCTTTTACAGCTGTCAAGACACATAAGTGGCAGCTTAGCAATAAGAAAATTTAAACCTCTGCAGAGCCCTAAGCAAATCGTGGGTTACCTTAATTCACTAAGTCTCTTGTTAGCAGACATGGCAGCATAGCCTGGAGTTAACAAAACATGACTTCTGCAAAGCTTGTGTTCGAATCAGGATGCAGGTAGCACTGCCTGTGTGTCAAGGGACATCTTCTTGATCTATTTGCAACACACCATACTAATCCTGTACAACATGTATACACATCCTCCACAGGTTTTACTGTTTGGAGTTACACTGCCTGTCTTGTGCACAAGGGAGTGTAAATGCAGAGCTGGGACAAAATGTAGCTGCCTGCAGCTGAGTGCTTAATCTGCCTTGGGTATCTGCTTCCTTGAGTGGTGTTTAAGCACCTGTATCTAGTGCCCTCAGATGGGACAGTGAATGTTCAGCATTTATTGAGATCAGTTGATAACTTCATGGCATTTGCATGATACTTTACACATTCAGGCAGATTAGCAGATGCTAATGATTCTTGAGAGTATCTCTTCTCAAACTCTGTTATTCTTAGCTGGTATCAATGGTCAGTTGTTGTGCTTGACTTACCCCTGCATTGGGCAGGTAATGCATGTTCTGCCCATACCTGGACAGCAGAACAATGGAGCATCCAAGATTCCTGTGTTATTTTCCTACCTCTGGGAGGATAGATTAGGTATCTTATTCAATGGTCAGGGATTGAGCAGTCATTGAGCTGCTCTGTTTAATGATGTCTGCCTGGTGTTTATTGATTTGTGAGCCAAAGTATTGGTGCTCTTAGAGACACTCACCAACTGTGAAACTTAACATCATAAGTGTTGTTAAGCAGATGCAGTTTGGGTGGACGGCATGGGACTGCTGGAACCTGTGTGGTTTAGGCCAGAAAGTCTCTTCCCTATTCTCAGTTCCTTTGATTGTAAAATGAGAGGAGCTATACTTACTGCTTCCTAATTTGGAGTCATGTTCAGCAATGCATGTGAAGGGAGTACAAAATTCAGCTGGTGGAAGAAGGAAAAACAGAAATCTGACAGCCCCAGCCTAGGGTACAGCCCTCTGGAAGAAAATGTGTTTGGCAAGTTGTAAGTGTAATTTGAAGTATTGTGTGAGCAATACCCTAGCTCTATGCTATACGCAGAAGGCTGGAGGCTGTGAGTATGCAGTTGTGAGGGATGGAATGGGAAAAAGAATCAAAAGTTTTCTTGTGCAAGTGGTGGTTTCTCTATTAAACTTTGTCATTCTTCCCTGGTTGAGCCTGGAGATCTACAGAAAGCATTTCACTGGCCACAGAAGTATGTCCCTGCCAAACGTTAGCTCTTCTGTGAACTCCTGAGGAGGCTTGAAAACTTACCAACCTGTTTCTCTGTAAGTGGTGTTTCTGGAATAGGAGGATTTATTTGGAGTGCATAAACTTAAATAAATTCAGCCTGAGGCATGCAGCTGGCATGTAGAATGTCAGCCTGAATTTGTCAATCAAAATTTGATGGGCTCACCTCAGAGCTTGTAAGTACTGATTTTGGTGCTGATCAGGAATTTTCCTACCACTGAAGAAAAACAGCATTTCCCATGCAGAAGCTGATTCTAGTTTCTAAACCAGATTCAGTTCCTTTCCCTCCTTCTTCAGTTTGAATATTTACAAAATAAGTTTACCTCACAAAAAAATGTTTAATAGAATGATACTTTATTTTCAAGAATGCTGACTGCAGCTCTGGACAGCTGTGATCCAAATTGTCTACTTACAGTATTTATTTAAAATTAAACCAATGCAAAAGAGCCCTCTCAGACTCCTTCCAAAGGCTCTTACACAGCTGAGCATCCCAGTGAACAGAATTGCTTTGCCTTAACCCATACCTGAAGACTCTTTCATAAGGACTAGGCAGTACTAAAATTATTGCTTCTGCCCCTCAGAGAAGTCTGCGTCACTGAGCTGATGCTGAACTGTCAAGCTCGCTGTTAGCCTTGGCACATCCAGCCCTGTTAGGCATTCGGGTGCAGTGAAATGGTTCCTGTGGACTGGACAGCCTGGCTGCAAGAACTTTACCAACCTGAAATTCTGGTTTCTGATTCCTCCCACTTCAGCCAAGGCTGCCCTGGGGTCTCTCTTGCATGCAAGATTTTGCTTGGATGCACTGACTTTTCTTTTTGATGGAAGTGAGGCCCCAGCTTAAGTCCTTTACTAAGATCAGAGGTGCAATAAAGAGCTTCTGAGTATGAAGTACCACATGGAAGAAATAGTAGTGAGGAAAAATAAGCAGAGACAAGTTGAGTTATTAGCTTGGAAACTTGTGCAGAACAAAGGTAAAACTCTTGATATTTTTGTCTGTGGCAACCAGTCACTGCCGGCCCAACCTCAACTGCTACTGAACAAGCTCCTCTTCCCTCTGCTCCTTTGGCTTAAGCATCCAGTCTGTGCTTCTGCTGATCCAGATGTGCCATGAACCTTCTGCAAGAATATTTCATTGCCTTTTCTGATTTATAGCGAAGAATGTATCTATACTCAAACAGAAGCAGCAGCAATTTTGATATCTCAAAAGAGGAATTTACTGGCTTGGCAGACTTGTCTGTACGTTTGGAAGCTGTTTGCTCTAGTGAGAAGGCTACCTCAAAACATGCAGTTTTCACAGTCTGCATTACTCTTGCTTGTTAGCATGGGATATGGTCAAGGGGATGATGTGGGAGGCCTGCCATAATAACTTGCTGTGCATCATGTCGCTTTCCCTACTTCACTGCTCTGTGTCTCTGTTCTTCCTTTAGAGGGGTTTTTCTCGACACCATCCTTCCCCGTCGTGATGATAACGGGGTCCGCCCAACTATTGGTCAGCGTATTCGCCTGAGTCAGGGAGACATCGCTCAGGCAAGGAAGTTGTACAAATGCCCAGGTAAATACGGCTTTTGGAGATGGCTCCAACTTTATTATAGATACATGGTTTATCTGTAAGGCACTGGAATTCAAGAGCACCTTAACAATTCCTTTGATGAAAGAGACTCAGGATATACAGACCATTAAATGCTTCAGGCTGGAGCTGTGGGAGAATTGAAGTTGCCTAACTTCAATTCTCCTATTAGTACTTTGCTAGTATTCCTGTTTGGTTTAGGGCTTCAGGTTGGTCTTGGTCCAATGTAGACTCTGCTCATAGAAAATTAAATCAGTGTACAAGACCATGTAAAGAGTGGAGTCTAGGAGGTAGCAAAGTGGCTATATTATATCTTTGTATACCAGAGAGATATCAGGTATACTGGTTCTCTGCACACCAACCATCACACTTCTGTTGAGTTATTTATATAATTGTTGTCCCAGAGATGAGCCTTAAGGGAATGGCAAATTTATCCTGTGATTATGGTGTGTTGCACTGAGGCTTGGGAGATAACATGGAAAAATATCAAAAATGCTGATTTGTGAAACAACCAGGTGGTAGCAGCTGGTGCTCTGAGCTGTTCAGGGAAGGGTTGTATCACTCTGTCTGCTGTCAAAGGGTTGATAGGCTGGGAACAGCTTTGATAGAGAAGCCATCTACATATGTGTGACATACCAGACCAACAGTCTGGGTCTTGCTTTTTGTGGGGTCTGAAAAGATTGTCAGTGTTCTGGGTTCAGCAGTAGCAGTCATTTTTCTCCTTCTTAGTAGTTGGTGCAGTGCTGTGTTTTTGACTCTCAGCCGGAGAACAATGCTGATAACATCAATGTTTTTAATTGTTGCTCAGTAGTGTTGACTCTGACCAAGGACTTTGTGAGTCTCATGCTCTGCCAGGGAGGAGGGGAAGCTGGGAGGAAGCAGAGGCAGGACGCCTGACCCAAGCTAGCCAAAGAGGTATTCCATACCACAGCATGTCATGCCCAGTATATAAACTGTGGGCAGTTACCTGGAAGGGTGAGATCACTGATCGGGTAGGGCTGGGTATCAGTCGGTGGGTGGTGAGCAGTTGTATTCTCTTCCCTTGTTATTTCCCTTATCATTATTATTGGTGGTAGCAGTAGTGGTTTTGTGTTGTACTGTAGTTACTGGACTGTTCTATCTCAACCTGTGGGAGTTACCTTGTTTTGATTCTCCTCCCCATCCCTCCAGGAGCTGGGGGAGGAAGGGCGGGGAGTGAGCGAGGAGCTGTGTGGTTCTGGGTTGCCAGCTGGGCTTAAATCACGACAGTCAGAAAGAGAGTTGGAGTCACAGATATGATTGGGAGACTAAATTTAGCCATCAGAACAGAAGGATCATTTAAAGTGGAGATGTTAGTGAAAGTTTATGCAACAGTTTTAGCTGAATAGGTTAATAAAGAAAACTAAATTTCAGAGAAGTAATCTGCTGGTCTTAAGGACAGGTTGAATATGAGGATTCATAAAGAAAGGCTCTTTGCTTGAAAGAATCTTCAAGCAAAGATGGCAGCCAGTCTGGTGCCTGTGGCATGAACTTCAGCAACTGAGAAGGGAGAGAGCATGGGAAGTGTGAAGCTCAGAAGCAGAAAATTTAACAAGTTCTGCTGTATTTCTGCAGGTAATGAAACATCCATGAGAACATGTCAGAGAATGAGAGAGTTGCCCTAATTTTGCAGAATTATCATGAACACTCATAATAATGCAGAGAGGAAAAAAAGGACTTTTGCAAGCATGGCCCAGGAGTTTATCTATATGGGTTGGTCTGGACAGCATATTGGTCCAGTTGAGACCAGGCTTTGACTGGTTATAAACCTAATATAATCATAAGTGATTAATCCTCTTGGAATAAGCATATCAGAGAGAGAGGGAGAAGATGAGGAGGTAGGGATGAGTTTACCAGTATACAGAGTCACATCTTAAATGAGTAGCTGGCTACCACTGCTCTCTGAACCATTCATGAGGCAATGGGAACTTGCTGTGCAAATCTGCTGCTTCTCTGTGTCTAGCTACAGGGCAGAGAGCACGGGTTCGTAAGGGTCTAGAATAAATTCTGATGACTTTAGGATCTGTGATGTTTAGGGATCTCGGCTTAGCTTATAGTAAATGGTATAACTTTCTTAGGTGTGCTAGTTCTAATTACCTTCTTTGTTTTTCTCTTTGCCACTTAGAATTTTCTCTTATTTGCTTTGGTTGAACAAGATGTAGTTCTTGGAAAATTATCTCATGGATTAGCTTAGGAATTTGTTTGTTTGAATACTCAAAAGAAAAAAAAAGGATGTTTTGTACCATGTTTTCTTGATTGAGTCAGACTTAATGCAAGCAGGCTTTTCATTCTCATAGCTGGAAGTATCAACTACAGACTCAGATTTCTTGAGGCAAGCTGAAAAGCCACTTTGGCCCGAGGTTAAAGTCAGACTAAAAGCACAAAGCAACTTCCTTTAAAATGAGGACTCTTCTGAGTCTCAAGTTTTCCACTTGCAAATCTGAATTTTTCTACTTTTAAGGTGTTTTTTTTTTCCCATAAAGCTTTAGCACACATTGCTGCAGTTCAGAACATACTTGGCAGCAGAATGATTAAAGCTTTAAGCCTACAAAACCAATCGGCTTCACATACCTATTGTTTTGGTTTGGTTTTTTTTTTCTTTGCATCAAAATTTGTACACATGTTGCATTGCATTTGAAGAGAAGGGGTGCAGTATATTTTATAACATTAATATCTTCAGCTGCCATTTGAATCTGTAGCTTGAAAAATTCCTCTGCAAAATGCAAAGCGCAGGAGTTCACAAACAAAGGACTGCAGTTGTATGTTAAAGCAAGGACTGAATGAGACTTTAGATTGAGGACAATTTTGTTCAGCAGTCAAATTGAGGAATTTTAGGTAAAATGCAACAACATGATACAGAAATTGGATGGCAGATGGTTTCCCTTTTAGAAAGAGAGTCTCCATCTGAGAATGACTGAGAAAATCCCCCCCAAAAGAGTTAACATGGTGGAGGATGAGTTACAAGCATGCACTGGCATGAGCCAGGACGACTGCTGTGTCTATTGGAAGAAACAGGGCTTTCCAACTCATTAGACTGGAGCTCTTGTGGCTGCTACAGTTAGGGCTGGCTTAGCTTTTCGATTCTAAAACCCTGCTGGTTTAAATTGCTCTTAACTCCCCAAAGTTTATACCTGCTGTGTTAAAGTTAGTGTCAAGCCAGGTGAAACCAAATGAAATTTGTTGAAAAAAATTCTGGAAGGCAAGATGCATTCTGCTACATAGTAGTAAATGCTAGATTTGGTATGGTTAAATGGTTGAGGATTTGATGAGTACAGTCACTACGAAAGACTTGAAAACAGCATGTCCTGCTCTTTTGTGCTGAGCTAAAGGAAACAAGCCTAACTCTGCAGGAATGGTTAAACCATAAATTGAGAATGGTCCTCCATTATACCATTTATTCCAATTCTCTGTACATTTTCAAAAAGATTTAGTATACCAGTAAACAGCCTGTCACTCAACTGCTTCATTTACAAATGACTTCTGAAACGTTCACCTCTCCTGCTTTGCTTTTCAACTCTGCTCTTTTCTAGCTGCTTATATGTGCAACAGCCTCTTTACCATGGGCAAAAAGCACCTTAGCTCAATTTCTTGGATCCCAGAAGTACCAAACACTAGTGTTGTTGGACCTATTGGCTTCTTTGCCACTAACTGGAGTACAGTTGTACTGCTTTTTGTTGTGCTCTGCAAGAGATTATGCTGTACACACAGATATGCATTGCTCATTATTATAATGCTTCTGCCTGCACGTGCAAGCAGTTTCTCTCCTCTGTGCGGAAAGGCCAGCCTCTCGCAGCCTGTCTGGAGGGTTTCCTCTGCAAGGTTTGGACAGTTAACTAGATCTCCTTAAACAATGTTTTGCAGAGTAGTGTTTGGTAGTAGATAACATTAGTACCTGTTCCATAGTTACACAGTCTTGCCAGGAACTGCGTAACTACGCTTGGGAGAATTAAGTCTGGACTGTTGGAAACCTTCACTGTGGTTCAGTTTAGGGCAGTAGTCCTCTTTGTCCTATGTGATTATGGTCATGTAGTATATGTTCCCAGTGATTTAGAGTCTACTAAACAAACTTTCTCTTTCAAATAGATTTTTGAACAGAGAAAAAGAATCGTTATGTATCTTGGTGAGTTATGGATTGGAATCCCCTCTTTACTGAGACACCTTGTCAGATGATGGCATTTCTAGATACATCCTAAGGTGGTGGCCACTCCAGACCATGCATTGACCGGTGGTGATGCCAGAGGATCAGCTGAAGAATGGCTTGCTGTCCTCAGCATAAGCATGGTGGGACTCAGCTTCTTTGAGATGTCTAACTGTTAAATGGGTAGCCTGCATTTCCTAGTTGAGGATCCTAGGAGCATTCTGGGAGCTGGAATTATCCTAACAGATTTTGATGAAGATAATAAGGCAAGGCATCATTGCAAGAGGTAGAAAGGAAGAAAGTATACTTATTTTGCAAATGGCAGCCGGATTTGTTCTCTGATTCATGCATGTTATCACTTTTTATAAGCATCTTTCTGCCCACCTGATGAATACAGACAGCATCACCTGCCAAGTATTTTGGGAGAGGTGGGAGGATCTTAGCTATTTCTGCAGAACTGAAACTCAGACTTGCTGTGCAATGCTCCTTTGTAGTTGCATAATGCAGGGGGAGCTGTCAGGCCTCAAAACTGCTTGAGAAGGAAGGAGCAATGTAAAGGTTTTGACCTTTCATTTATTTTCTTCATTCCTCTAGGGCAGGTGTGTGCATTTACCTGATAATTTTGCTAAGTCGTGCTCTTTTCAAGTAGTTTAAAATACCTTTGTCTTTCCTGACAGGAGTCACTTTTCCAGGTCCCATGCTGACCTGTGCCTTGAAATATGTACAAGTTGTTCCTTGGAGTGACTCCACCTTCCAGAGCACCCCTATGAGCTGCTTGGTTGGGCAAACCCCTTTTTTATGTCCCCACCTATTGTTCATCTGGTCTGCTCTGTCAAGCTGGGGATCAAACTGCTTCAGGGAAATTAAGAAATTCTGGCCTAGGTGACTCCCTCTTTCCTTTTTTGAAGATATTAAACTTTTTGAATGGGGCCTGTCTCTTTTCACCTCCAAATTCCAACCCACCCATCTAAATGTAATTATGGCTGAAAATTAGTGAGGGTGTGATAACATGAGGCAGAGGAATATCCTCTGGCATTTCCATGGCAAGGGGAGGTCCTTGTCGGATCTTTCAAAGCACTCCTGCTTAACAAGGGATTTTTGGGAGCTGCCTTACCATCACTGAGGAAACCAAGTTGCAGGTCAAGGGCAGCTTTGTAAGATCAGCTCATTAGGAAATTGGAAAAACAACTGGAAAGCAGATAAGCCAAGGTCCCTGCTCCTTGCAATAGGCATTTGCATGTGTCTGGTGAGCACTCTGAAGGAAATGGGAGCTTTGATATTTATGATCCTCCCACCTAGCCCATCAGCTGCTCTGCAGATGTAGATGGTCACTCCCTGTTCCAGCTCAATCCTTCTGGATCAGAGAGCAGGAACTACAGTAGTCACAGCTTTCCCACATGTTGGAAGCTGTGGTTCCCAAAAGGAGCATATGTATATGCATATTACTTGCTTTCCAAAAGTCACTCTGGGATCTACATTTCATCAACTGCAGCAAGCCATAAAAACAGGAAGGTGGAGAGCAGAGTGAGCTGCAGTGCTCACATTTTATTCTGCACAGTATGACAGAACAGTGCTGAACAGATGAAGCGTGAGGGCAGTGGGGCTTGCCCTGCTTTTGTTAGGATATTTTAGCCCTCCAGAAAGACACTTAACAATGGTAACTAAGGAGAACTTCATTGTGCAGCTTGTAATGAAGGCAAAACAGATTTGCTGGCAGCAGTCTTGGGGTTGCAAGGTGGAGTGGGGTTGATATTTTGCATTTGATTTATGGATAAGATATTCCTCAGTAGGGTTGAAACCTGAAAGTGCTGGCATGTGGAAGGAAGATGAAGGAGGAAGGGTGTCTCTTTAAAAGCTGTTTCACCTGTGTCCTTGCACTGATCATCATCTGTCCAGAGGATTCTGCCAAATTTCACATCACCCCTTTGGCAAGGTCTCATTTGGTCAGTGACTTTTGTCCAATACCATGAATGAGCATCCTTGGAGCATCAGCCACCAACCTGCACACAACCACGTGCAAATACTTTGGTAGCCTCTGATGTCTTTCAGAAAGTCACTCCTCGTTGCTGGTTTCTTCTTCCTCCTCCTGCAGCTTGTGGAGAGACTTTGCAGGACTCAACAGGGAATTTTTCAGCCCCTGGCTTTCCAAATGGCTACCCGTCCTATTCCCACTGTGTCTGGAGGATCTCAGTGACCCCAGGGGAGAAGGTAAGTGCCAAGCCAGCACAAGGTATACTCTGTGCTTCCCTTGCATGTGGTTTTGCCTGTGATGATGGCTTTAGCAACTGCCAGTGATTTCCAGCATGCCTGGAGTGCAGGGTTGGAGCCTGGAAAGCCTCCTGAGCAACACTGCTGTCCTTCCAGAGATAGGGTCAGGAATACATGGTCCTGAGGAGGAAAGAGGTACTGCTGGAGCAGAGCCCCCTCACAGGTCTGGGTTGCATGTTGATCTCTGATCCTTCCTCTCTATTTGAGGCTGAACCCTGCGTGGACATTGTGTGTCACCCACAGGTGACTGTCAGATGAGTTGGATAAAATGTGCCAGCAAGCTGGGGGCCCAAAGACAGCCTGAGGAGCTGTGACTGACATTAGTGGTCTGCCCCTGTCACACAGCATAATGTTCCTGTCAGGGGACTCCCGCTCCCCCCCTTGAAACACTGAGCCCCGCTGTGCATCAATCACCCACCCCGTCCACTTTCTTCCCAGCTCCTTTTGTTTTATTGATCTTCCTGTGGAAATGAAATCTTTCCTTAATCCACTAACACCAGCCCTTCAGGCCTTTCATGCCATACCAGCCTGCAAGAATGCACAGCCTGGCTTGGGAGCTGCTCAGCAGAGTGGCTTTGCTGAGGACCACCCTCGAGACACACTTAAGACTCAGACTTGAACAAAGAAGAGCAGAGCTTATTCATTTTGCAGCAGATATCTTGCTCTGGGACAGAGTTCTGTCTCCTGCAAGCCTGGTCCAATGCAGTGATGAGCTCCTACCATTCACTGCAGGGAGAGCTTCGCCAGGGGCAGAGGTGTCAAGAACTGTCCAGGTTTTGAGACTATGGAACTGGGATTTTTGCAGTGTAAATGTTTCTGTAAATTCTCCCTTTGTCTCTCAGCTTCTTCAGAAGAGTTGTACTGGATAGGACCCAGCATCTAAATACTGAACCACTGATGTAAAAAAACCCCAACAAAAAACAACAGACAAAAAACCCAAATTCAGATTAAAAGATTAAATACTTCAATTTGTCTGTTTAATCAAATGCAGCATTTGGTACAAAGTAGCAGGATAGCACTGAGGCATTAGCTTGGGACAGATACTGGGCTTGTAGTATTCATTTGCATAGAGCAGATGAATCTCTTTTTGCTGTCCTAAGTAAAAAAACTAAAGTGTGAACAAAATAAGCTAAAGTGTGAATAAAATAAGCAACACAGTTCCAGACTGCACTCTGCGCATCCAGCCAGGGCTTTGAGGGAAAACATCTATTTTAATCTAATGAAGCAGACTGTAGATGTAAGTTAATAAATTCATCAAATCTTGCAAGGAAAAATGCCAGAAGTACACCCCATCAATGACTTCCATAAGCCCATAGAGAGGCCTATATTCCATGTTACAGAGGAAGGAGACCAAAGGGATAAAATTTTAATGCTAAGCTCTGCTCAGTTAATCCACCGAACACAATTGTATCATAATGATGGTGTGGGTGTAATTGTCAGAATGTGGAAACTTGTCAGCAAAATTAGCTATTTCTTACAAGTGTCATTTATATAAGGGTGGAGACCCCAAACATCTGTGTTTTGGGTCTATGTGTTTCTCCATGATGTTCACATTAATCAAAACCAGTGATTCAAATTTTTATGAAAAAAAAATCCCCAAACCAACTAAACCAGAACAAGTAGGGCTTTTTTAGTAATTTTAGTAACCGAGGAGCAGTGACTGTGAATTACAGGATGGATAGTTAAGTGCTGCCCACTGTCGTGTACTTTCATGGTTTCATTAAATTACTTTGAGAAGCATTTCTTTTTTTCAGAAAAGCTGATTAAAAAATCAGCAAACTGTCCAACTGTCTTTTCCTGTATACTCACTTAGGCAGCACTGTAGCAGAGGTCAAGCACATAATCTGTAGGGTCTTCCCTTTAAAGTAGCTCCCTTTCCACAGAAGTGTATGCTCTCTCCTTTCAGATTATGTTAAACTTCACATCAATGGACCTATTTAAAAGTCGCCTTTGCTGGTATGATTATGTGGAGGTTCGTGATGGCTACTGGAGGAAGGCTCCATTGCTGGGTGAGTACTTGCTTCATTTTAATTGCATTTTGTGTTCCTCTTGATGCTTAGGGGGGTAGGTGGGGAAAATAAACAGAAACAAACTTTTCTTTACCTGGAAAGAGGTTCCACTGAGCCAATGTACTGGCCATCCATTAATGTCTCCATCCAGGATGTCGATGTGCTGTATTCACATCAAATGATCCCTGCTCCAGTTCCTTTGATAGCAGAGTCTTTATTCCTTCCTTTTGTGGCTTGAGAAGAGATGCAGAGAGGGTATGGCTTGGACTGAAAATGTGGTCTCTGGAGTTTTATTATTGGGTTTTCCAAAGACCAGGGTAGAACTGCCAGGCAGTCAGAATGAAGCAGCCATAGAGCTCCTGGCCCAAGCGCCTGCCATTATTTCTCAAGTATTGTGTTTACAAATACACAAGTAGTCTGTGCTTTGCACCTCTGTACTTCTAGCAGGGAACTTGCCAGATCATGCCTAGGATGTCAAAGTGTGCAAGGGCCTTGCTCTACTCCTGCTCTCAAATGTAAAATGGTGCACTGCAAACAGCTCTTCCTGCCTGAAAGGAAGTAAATGATCAGGTTGTGTAGCATCACCAGTTGTGTTAGAGGTGCTATGCCCCATGCTGCAGCACAGGAGTAGGCTAGTCAGCATGGGGTCAGTAGGCTTAGGGAGGTCTGGGTGCTCTCCTTGGCCCCACTCAGCATCCCAGCCCTGGTACCTGGTGAGGTGCTAAGGCTGAAGCCATGCTGCTTTCCAGAAGTTTCCATGGGCCTGACTTTCAGTGCAGAGTTGGAAGCTGGTTTTACTGTTTCCTGCCTGTTTCAGGGTTGGCAGCATGTATTGCTGTTTTCTGCTGTACATGCATCAGGTAACATTGCTCCAGCAGCTGCAACCTAGCTCCTCGTTATTTATTTTTTCTGCTGAGTAATTTAAAGGTATTTCAGAAGGCAAGCACCTCCCTGTCCCCCAGTGCAGGTGGACCTACAAGTGTTCCCATCTGGAAGGAGACACTGCATGAGTGGCCATGGCTCCCGCAAGGGGCTGAGCCCGTGAAATTAGCTCAGAAGAGGCAAACAGACGGCAGTTCAGCAGGGGGTGGGGAGGGGATTAGCGTGAATTGTGAAAGCACGGGCTTCTTGTGGGGAGAAAAAAATACATGTGAACTGCATATTTTCCCAGGGAAGTGTGTGAAAACTCAGCCTTTAAATGGTGTATAACTTTTTATGAATGGGCCTTTTATCACACTCTGAGGAGTTTGCTCATTCTTGTTCCTCATCTGCTTTTCCTCTCCTTGACACCCTTGTTAAACTCCAAGTCTAAATCCAGGAGGCAGTTGCTCAGTGACCCTAGAGAAAGGTGCTTTGCAGTGCTGATGTTTTTTGTTAGTATGCCCATTGGGAGTGGAGATGGGAGATACTATTGGTACACTGCAGGGCTGTCACGCTGCCCCAGCAGTGCTGGGCATCTGGGGGATATGCGGCTTAGAACTGAGTAGCCAAGTAAAGCTAGGATCCAAGATAATATTTGGATGGGTGACTTCATAAGAGAAAAAACTTGGTGGTGAAACTGCTGAAGAGAAACAAAGTTTGCAACTCACTTGTGGCCTGCCACAGAGGAATAGCTCTTGCATCCTTGAAGGTCATAGCCTTTGTGACATGCCAGCCAACAGGCTTTGAACTATCTGACACCTTATTCAGTGTAGGGAACCACCAGTGCAGCCTGCTAACGGGAACTAAGGCAGTGTCTTGCAGGTAAGGCATTAACCAGGTTTTTTGCCCAGTGGAGGTAAGGCTTTGCCTGGTGATGCAATGCCAGGATCCCTGTCACTGCTGTCCTGAGTAAATTCAACCTCACAAGCTGCTCTCTGCCCCTGTCAAATTCCCACTGGAGATTCAGTGGGACAGGGTGCCAAGGCCATGCTGAATTTCACATATAGCCCTGCTGATGTCAGCTGAAGTGAAGAGCCACGTTTGCACTGAGTCCTCTCATTGCATACTTGGTTCTTGCTCTGTTTCTGTGAGGAGCTTCTGGCTGGAACTGCTACAGCTGAACCCAGGACAAACAGGTAGAGGAGCACCAAATCAGGGTTGTTAAGGTTGTCTGGGACATGTGCAGCTGTTCTTCTTCAGGACTCATTCTTGTTGGCAGGATTTGGGTATCTACCGGTGCTGGTGCCTGCCAGAGAGCTCAGATATAGGTGAATCATGGAGCAAAAGGGCTCTTGGTGTCTCTTGAAAGAGACTGAATGACTGTAGAGGTTTAACTGGGAAAAGGTGAGAGCAGAGGACAAGATAGACGGTGTTTTCTCATCAGCATGGCCACATCTCGCCTTTGGTTTGAGTTGGACAATTTTAGTGCAAAAATGCTGAAGGAATTTCCAAGGTCTAACGGGTGGAAAGGATGTTTCTTCATGTCACATCTCTAGAAGGACAAGGGATGGTTTCCTACTTTTATTGAATTAATAATTGAAGAGGATATGAATTAACTGGGGGGTGGTGGTGGTGGTGGTGGTGGTGGTGGTGTTGAAATGGGAACAGAAACTCATTTAAAAGCACAAGTGGTGGGAGGGAAAGGGTGTTTTACACAAGCACAGCTCCTTTAACCACAGCCTCTTTGCTTCCTGGAGCCACAGGTGCCTGCTATGCTGTGCTGTCCATCAGCCAGGAGATCTTGATCATCTCTTTCCTGCCTTCTAGGTAGATTTTGTGGTGACAAGATCCCTGAACCAGTAATTTCCACGGACAGCCGGCTGTGGATAGAGTTCCGGAGCAGCAGTAACATCCTGGGCAAAGGCTTCTTTGTGGCCTATGAAGGTACAGCCACTAGCTAGAAGTCTGTTGCATTGCACGGAGCAGCCAGAACAGGATGCAGAGGGTTATGGGATCAGCAGGAGTTCTGTGTCACTACATAATTAGATGCAGCCCTCACTCTTGTCTTTATGGGAATTGGCAGATTTTGCAGGCTGCTTCAGCAGACAAGGCATGGATCTTCCAATGAGATCATCACGTTTTGGGGAGGACAATAGGATGGCAGCATGGAGCTATAGATTCTGTTCATACACCACATTCTGTTTCACGTAACCAGCCCCTGCAAGCAGCATTGCTGAGTATAGCAGGATTTCTTCCAGTAACTTAGTAGGCAAAATTCTGTTTTGGATCATGCATTTTATATTACTTAATGCAGCTTATTTTGTTGTGGGTTTTGTGGGTATTTTTTTAATTATCATTTATTTTTGTAATCTTTTTGGTTTTGCTTTGTTTTTTCTCAAATGCAAAGATTGTTCTTTGGCTTCTCCCTTGTACATTTTACTTACAGAAGATTAGAAATTAGCATATCGGATCTTCTGCAGGTCAGGTACTTTGGAAACTTGCATGGCATGGAATGCTGAAACCACTTCAGCAAAGCAATACTATCAAAGTCAGTAACAAATGAGTAACATCCCTTCTCCATATATGCTTATTTTTTTACAGTATTTTAATATATTACAAGCCTTTATGGTTCTCCAGGCAACAGGAATTTTCTTAGAAGTACCAGTGTTGGCCACAATATTGACTTTCACTGTATCAGTATCAACATTGCATTATCTTCTTTCTGCAGCCACAGAAACAAGCATGACACTGGAAGCCCAGTGCTCAAATGTCCAGTATACTCATGAATAATGATGCTAACAGAGGGAAGTGAAGAAAACATGGGACTGTTGGAGAAGTGCAAATAAAGCATATGAGGATTTCACAACAGTGTGGGGCTAACAAATCTGTTTCACAGGAGAAATATCTGGTTTCTACAGGAATTGTTGCCCCTGAGACAGAAGTAGCTTCCCTGATTATGGGTTTTTTTACATCTCTCCTGAGAAGCAGCTGTTGCCTGAACCATGTGGTTTGTAACACCCCTTTTATGGTAGTTTGTTGGAGGAATTAGAAGTGATCAAACTAGCGTGTCTCTAATAGACTGATATATTTTGGGGTTTTGTGTTGGTGGGCTTGTCAGATTAATTCTTACAGTGGGTTATTCCCCAGTGATACCTGCTCCAACTTTAGAAGAAAAAGAAAAACAAAAGGCAAGGTGAGGAATGCTTTGGGGAAGCAACTTCTCTGTTCTTCACCATGGATGTTAATATGGCATCATGCTTCATATTGTTAAATGGTATCAGAAGAAAATAAATATTACCTTGCTTACATACCAGAGTCAAGGCAAGTTTTCTTTTCTCTTGATAATTTTCTGTATTTCCTGTTGATTAGTAAATGACCCCTAGAGGCTTAGTAAATATGAGCTATACTTGCTTCACTTAACTTTTGAGGAGAGCAAATGAAAGCAGAATGTGCATCTTGTGGTCAAACTTCCCTTTGACTCTTCACATTTTTCTAGCTCTTCAAGACTGGCTTTTTATTGTAACCCTTTCCTGCAATAAGCTTCCAATTGGAAAGGTATGAAATCTATGGCTAAGCCTCAGAGCAAGCAGAGAGTATGACTGGCAGAAGCCAGCTTTTACCACAGAACCAGTGACAGTCCATTGTATAATTCTTAACTCAGCCTCCTCATGACAGAGCAGCAGGTAGTGAGATTATCAGCACCTCTCTCCATAATTCATTTGCTGATATTGGAGAGTTTCCAAAAATCCTTAATCCCTGTTGACCTCCAGTGCAAACTCTGGCAACGGCTGGTTTCTTTCCTCTGTTGTGACTTCTGTGTCTTGGCAACAAAGGTAACTTTTCTTTTCAGGAGGGATTGTGCTTAAATGTTTAATTTTTAACAATTTTTGTTCAAAACCTCTCTGCATTAGTGTTAGTTCCGCTTTTTCTTTTGAACTTTTCTCCCTCACATACTAGAAAGCAAAAGCATGGTTTAGCACTTTGTTTCTCTGTGCTCTGCTTTACTTAGAGTGCATGTAAATGCTTGTACATCTGAACACTGCTGGGAGTTCTGTGGCTGAGGACTGATTTTTGGATATGGATTCCTCCAGGTCTTGGCCCTAAAGTTTCCAATAAGGGAGGAAAGAGACAGAAGTATGTAGCCACTTGATGGGAAAATTATTTGATACTAAATGATAGTGTAGTGAAAGTGTCCTCATAGTTCAGTTGTTCCTTTTCTTTCATGAGATTCAAGATGGGAAGATGTTGGTGGTTTTGCCCTACAGCAATGCTAACAGCCCTGAATTTGTCATCATTATTGTCTTCTGAGGCTCTATCAGCAGATGTTCCTTCCATTTTACAGTAATGCTCTTCCAGTATACTTTGGAGCTCAGCTAAATTTCAGTGTGAACTATGGCAGTGGTAGAGAATATACTGTTTGCTGGCTGACAGTTTTACGGGGAGAAAGTTCTCTAAAGGTTTACTCGGAGGTTCTATATAGCACCACTTCTAGATCTGAATATATGAATTCCAACTTCAAACTATATTATGCTTTGCAGCTGAATTTTGGGTGCAACTATTTGGTGGTGCCTTAGTACTGATTCTGTAGGAAAGAAGTTATCACTGCATTAATGAATCAGTGCTTTTAACTAGGCTACAGTTAAGCATTAGCAGCTTATAAGGCAAAACCAAGGCAATGTTACCCAATACAAGCAATTTCCAGGACAGTACAGTGAGACCCAAATCTGAATACAGTGTCTTGTGGGGAGACTCCAAGAGTGAAGATGGTTGATGTCTGGCAGGTGTCATTGCAGTGCCATCTCTCTTGTACCTACTGTCAGTGTGTTTTGTTTGCTTGACTAGCCAGTGTTTGCTTGCACAGCCAAAACATACATATGCCTTCTGTAGACATGCATTTTGTGCATCATGGGTTAACACAAGTTTTAGCCTGTGGTCTTACTTTCATTTGTTACAGGCTTGCAGACAATTATGCTGAACTGCTATTGTCTTTGAGGTCTCTGCTAGTTTTGTATTAAGCTAGATTATCATTAAACTTTCTGTTCTTGTCTTTAAACTTACTCATCCTTATGTTTAGCAACAGCCTTAATTTTTCATACACAGCAGTCAGCCTGGTGGTCTCCTGGTGAGCAGTTGAACTCATGCTTGATAATGTTGCCATCTTGTGGCTGGATTAGATTAGCAACTGATTTTTTTGGTTGGTTTGTTTCTTTTTTTTCCATTTTTCCGTGGTCTTTATTGCTCGCAGCAGGTTTTAAGCAGTTATTAAGGTGACCAGCAGTGTGAAACGTGAAAAATCATAAAAATTCTCTGTCCCAGTGAGTTCACCTTCTACGGTGGTTGGCACAGAAAGACAGGAAACACGGTCAGTAGGACAAAATGCTAGATTTGTAAAAACTTCCATGACTTGTATGCTGCCTTTGTGTAACAAGCAGTATTGACACAGATTTGAACAAGGTTTTGCTACTTGTTTTTTATGAAGCTATTTGTGGTGGAGAAATTCACAAAGATGCTGGCCAGATCCAATCGCCCAATTACCCAGATGACTACAGACCTTCCAAAGAGTGCATCTGGAAGATCACGGTTTCTGAGGGTTTTCACATAGGAATCACATTCCAAGCCTTTGAGGTGAGAAATGTAATTTTATATTATATTGTGAATATTATTTTGCCTCTGTAGATACTTTAAAATGAAGAAGAAAATTTTAAAAGTTTTAAAAAAAACCCACCTCTTTTGAGTCCTTCATAACATAATTTCTTCTCACCAGAAGTTTGCTCATTTTGAAGCCAAGTTTTAAATATGAGTTTTCAAAAACTGTTACTCTAGACAGAAAGAATTAGAAGGGGCACAAAATTGTAGATGATGCTAAGTAAGAACTCATGAGTCCTTAAATTTTCAGCCTGGTCAAATGAAATTGAATGGTCACAATCCAGGTGTCACTAGGGCTTGGCAGGTTGCAGGATTTTTGTGACTCTCCAAGGAAACATCATGTTCCCAGATGGCAGACAGGCTTTGAAAAGCTCAAAAAAGCTTTTCTCCTACTGCTTATAGAATCTCTTACACTTTTAGCTAGGTGTCCAGTGATGTGTTTCTGGCTACAGATGTATATGTAAGTCACAGATAGGAACGGCCAGGACCTGGATAAAACCCATCAACCCCATAGACTCTTGTGGCTTGTGTACTTGTACTGTGCTTGTCCTGGAAAGAGCTGACACCACCACCTCCTAGCTGTGACCCCACAGCTATTTCTTTAACTTTTTTTTTTATAGTTGTTCTGCTCTGTTCCTTCCATCTTCCCATGGAAAAGCAGCTTGTAGATAGTCATGGACTGGGCTTCACCAAAAGGAAGCCATGAAAATAGCAGTAGAACTGAGATGTGCTCAGGCTTGAATGCAGTTTCCACTGCTGGAGAGCTCAATGGCAGCAGTGAGGCAAGTATGTAGTTGTGACCAGTTGTTTGGGATGCTTGTTTGGAGCTGATCACTGGCCAAAGTCAAACTGGGTAGCTAGCCTAACTCAGAGCACTCATACTAGTGAACTACCGTCATACCCTTTTCCTATTGCAGATTGAATGGCATGATGCATGTTCTTATGACTACCTGGAGATCCGAGATGGCCTAACTGAATACAGCCCACTGCTTGGTCACTTCTGTGGCTATGAGAAGCCAGAAGATATCAAATCCAGTTCAAATAAAGTATGGATGAAGTTTGCATCTGATGCAACCATCAATAAAGCAGGTTTTGCAGCAAATTTCTTTAAAGGTACACGATCTATTACCTCACAAGGTCAAAATTTGGGACCATTCATCCCTTAATCTACTGTCATCTCAAAGTGATCAGTTACCATTGTATCTACTTGTACTTAAGAACTGTTAGACTTTCCTGTACAATCACCAATACCAAGTTGATATACAAATGGTTTTGTGAGTATAGAGAGGTTTGATGCTGAGGCATGAATACCACCTCCTTGATTAAGGCAGAATGAAAGAGTGCTGGGTCAGTACCAGCACAGGCACTGATGCCTTGTGTTGCACTGCTGGGCAGAATGTAACCTCCACTTAACCCATGCCAGGGCACATTTTCAAAGAAAGTACTGGTACTGGGTGTGCAGTGTTCAAACAACTCTCTGCTAAGTTGTATTCCAAAGGAAACCTCCGTAGAGAAGGTGAATTTGAATGCAAGTAGAATCCCAGGGAAAATTTCTGAGTGCTTTAGGAGACACATGTGTTCCTGACCTGAGATCCTCTTCAGAAAGATGTAAATAAGACTAAGATTTTTCTTAAGAGCTAGACCCAAGACATGGTCCTTTACCAGCATCCTGTTGAGCTGAATAGAAGCAAGAACCAAATATCTAAGCACTTGGGAAAATGCCTGCTGAGCTGCTGCAAGGTAGATACCCATGTTTCTCTTGGGTTCAGTGACAGTTTTACAGAAATAATAGCTGCAATGCCAATATTTGGATTGCACAAGTCCTTTATTTATTCCTACTTTAACTTCTGTCTCATGTTAAGGGTGTCATGGTCCATTTGGATCTCTCAAATTTACAGGACAATGTACTCTGTGAAATAAACATAATTTCATGAGCCTGTTAGGAAATACAACAAACACAGCAGGGCTCAACCCCCTTTGCTTGGACTAGTCTATCATGGGAATTCACTTATTCACTTACTCCAGTTATAAGGTTTCATAATGTCCTGGGTTCAGCATAAATTTATGGCCTGTAGTTCCTAATCCATGTACTTATGCACAAAAGAAAAGAATTAGTTAAATAAAGTTTGAGAGATCCAAATGGACCGTGACAAAAGGCAATTGCAAGATCACTGGCAAATACTGTGGTATTTAATTTCAGACCCTGAACAATGTTCACAGTGCCTAGACATCCTTGTTTAAATTTCTCATGTTCCATAAAGACACAGAATACTTCTTCCTAAAGACATTTTGGCTTCTTTCAGGAGCTGAAAGCAGTGCAGACTGACTAGCAGAGATGTCTTCCAGGGATTAGTACTAAATGGAGACTTTCTGGCCTGCAGCAAGTCATTCTCTAGAATCTGAGCTCCTCCTGCAAATTTGTAGGGGAACAAAGTTACATACCTGAATCTGGGGCGCTTTCCTTGTGAAACAGTCATAAATAAATGTATTTGTATTTTTTATGTAAAAAATGCATAAACATGCACTTCCACTGCAGTTGCAGACACAAGTGATTTACAGCCACATTAGAAGCTATTGAACCTGTCATGGAGCAGCAAAGAAATATTCTGTGTTCTTCATAGTTAATTCACGGACCAGAAAATAAAATCTGCTTGGTCTAGAACTGTTGCAGTATGGGGCTCCTGACTGCGGCAAGGCTTTGCAGGGAGGCAGTGTTATGAATAGAAGAGAATTCCAGTTGGAAGGGACCTACAATGATTAGTCAAGACTGTTCCTATTTGATGAACATAGCAGTAACTGTAACCGTAACATTATATTGGGTGTAGGTGCAAGCTGTTGACAGTGGGAGGCTGCAGGGCTGCCTTGTGCTGACTCCATAGTGGACCCACCACAGGACACAGATGAACCTATCAGCTATGTTGGTGGCACCTCTGTGAAAACATAAACCAGGAAGGAGCAAAAAGTGCCAAACAGCAGAGGTAACACCAAAGTGAGAGGTGTTACTCTTAGTAGGAGATGTTGCACTTAGCATGAGGTGTTACCTCTTACTTAGTGAGCAGAAGGTGGAGGTGCTTCATGGCAGAGCAGACACTCCCTGCAGCCCATGGAGGACCCAGGACCCTGGCGGGGGCAAAGTATGAGAAGGAAGGAGTGGCAGACTCATGTACTGGCTGTAGCTCCCCATCCCCTCTGCCTTTGCATGCTCATGGCCTTGCTGGATGGACTGAGTTTAAGCTGGGGTGATACAACATGGGGAGAGAAGTTTGAAGTGTAGTTGAGCCTGGGAAAGGGGGACAGAAAGGTATTTTCCCTAAATGTTTTGACATTTGTTTCTTCTTTCTTCTTTTTTTTTTCCCCAGTGTTTTGTTTCCCAATACCCAAATCAATACTCAAATATTTAAGTTGGCAATAAATTAAGTTAAATTCCCTAAAGTTGAGTCTGTTTTACCTACAACAGTAATTGGTGGATAATTTTCCGGTCTTAACCCAAGAACTCTCATTTGCACGGGGTCAGGGTGAGAAGCCAATACATCTGGCTATCTGTATATTAAAATGTCAGTTCAGGCTGTTGAGATGTAATTGGAAGAGCCTGGATTCAAAGTCTAGGGTAGTAAGTCTTCACGTGTCTGTGAAAAAGAAGGATTACTTATGTATTCTCACAGCTCCTTCATTGCACCCCACTCAGTGGGGTACGGCATTCTACAGCTCTGTTACTGTGGGCACCATGATGGGCTGGTTCATGGTAGCCCAAGTTACTCAAGAGAGTGAGAAATCTAAAAAACAAAACAGGGGGAAATGAGAACAAAAAGCAGTGAAGTCGTTACTGGAGATCATGTTTTTCTGCTCCTGTACAGAAAAAAACACTCTTGAATTGTAACAGTACTCTTAATCCCTTATGGTTTTGATGCTAGGAGTGCTTTAGCTCTTGTGAGGTTTGCAGCAGCTCCATGGGCTTGGCTCATCAGCTAGTCCTCTGGTCCTTCTGTCCAGAAGTGCTGCATGAGGAATATGAGGGGGCTTGAGTGGTCTCTAAACTGACTTGTTCTGGTTTTCTCCTGACAGAGATGGATGAATGTTCTCTTCCAGACAATGGTGGGTGTGAACAGCACTGTGAGAACACACTGGGCAGTTACAAATGCACCTGTGAGCCTGGCTATGAGTTGACAGCTGATAAAAAGACCTGTGAAGGTGAGTAACCTACAGATTGTCTGTATAGTATGGGTACTACAATCTTGGAGATGATTTTCCTTGCCCTTGGATCCTCTTTGCTTCTGTTTATCTTTCCCCACCTGAAAACATCCTTCTTTTGTCAACATCTTCCATTGAAAAACAAGTTTTGGTTGAAAAACTGAGAATACTGATTCTGTACTGGTAAACATCTCTAAAACCATTTGCTCTTCATAACCACAGATTCCTGTTCAAACCAGATCTCCCACAGTGCAACATAAGGGAGGATGGGCATTATAACCTAACCAAAAGTGGCACAGAAGTATTTCAATCTTAAGGTTGAATTTCTTATTTTTTAAAAGAAATTTATTTTGCAGTATAAAATATCTATGTTTTTCCTGCATGCAAACCAGACATTCTGCATACTGAGGAGTAAATTTCCTTCTTCTGTTATGGGAGGGGAAAAAACAACCCTACAACACACCTTCAGTGGAAACTGTTTCTGTCAGCTTTCTATTTACACAGTTGATCTCCTGAAACTAGCGCTTGCTTCTACCAACAATACAGCTGTTGGCGTGTGAGAATCCACCCATTGTTCTTGTCTCTTAGCTCTGCCTTTCGGCTGAGATATGTAAGGAGCTTCACACCAAGTGGTGCTCTCAAAGTCACATGGTTTGCCCTGCCTTCTAATTTTTTCACTGTCTGGGAAAAGCTGCTGTTGACTAGGTGCCATTTTTTTCAATAATTTCTTGCAATTTTGAGCAAACAAGTTGGTATAATTTGGCAAGCATTTTCTGAACTTCACTCTTAGTCTCCTATTTCAAACTTCATTTGTGGGCAATACAGGAAGGATAATCTTTGAAATTGTAGCAAGGCACATCAGAGTAAATTGCTTTTGTTTCTTCTGACATGCTTGCCACTCTTTTTGTATCAAAGCTGCTCCCTTGGGTTTGACTTATTGCAAGTAGAATTTTGCAACAAGAGCAAACTGAGATGGATTCCTTTGATGTAAAAGCCATGTTCTTGCACAAGAGGATGAAGCTGAGATGTCCCAAGTTTTTAAAAGAAATTGGATAATAAAGTGAAGTCTTTGGTTTTGTCTTCAGTTTTCCCTAGAGAAGATGCAGTCCACATATAATAAGCCACTGAAGAGTTGATAGGGGTGTCTTCCTGGGATTCCATTATCTTCCAGTTATTCCATCACTAGTAAACTTGAAATAGTATGGTTTGTATGACTGAATGTGGGTAAATTTGCCAGGTGGCCTTTACAAATATGTTGTGCACGTCAAGTCAGCCAATCCACAGTTGAAGCTACTACCACTCTCTAAGCCCAAGGTTAAAAAGGAGATCAATCTTACATTATTTAAGTGGCTCTCAAGGTCATACCCTGGCTGTGTGTGTTTCTCTGGTGAGTAAAGGTCAGGTTTCTGTCTTCTTCACAGCTGCCAGCATTTTTACCTGTTCTGGAGGCCAGGATTTGAAATGTGCTACCAACCAGGATCTGATTCATTTTATAGCTAACAGTGTGGCCCAATCTGTGTGTCTGAACAGAACCAAGTAAAACTTGTGTTCATTTATTGCCTCTCCAGCTGCGTGTGGGGGCTTCATCACCAAGCTCAATGGGACCATTACTAGCCCTGGATGGCCCAAGGAATATCCTACTAATAAAAACTGCGTCTGGCAGGTGGTAGCTCCAGCCCAGTACCGGATCTCTCTGCAGTTCGAAGTGTTTGAGCTGGAAGGCAATGATGTACGTAACCAGTCCCTGCATCTCAGAGGTGTGACTACTGGCTAACTCAGAACTGGATAAATCCTTGGGATACAAGGAAAAGGAGACTCTGTCTTGCTGGTGGAGCTTCTGGTTGTTTCCCAGCCTTTACAATAATAAGCCATTAACAGTGATTGTTCTCTCTGAAGTCTGGATCCACTTTCTCTTTGGAGTGGAAAAGTGTTCTGTTATAAATGGGCTTCTTTTCTCTACCAGCTTTGAGTAACTGTAGGTGTTGTCCATCCCTAATAAGTATATCATCCTCCCCTTACCCAGGGCTGTCTTTGCAGGGAAATAATTGAAAATAAACAATGAAGTAGAGTTCTTCAAGGGTAAAAAAAACAGCCAGTAAAAAAGTCTGTTCCCTGCCCTGCCAAGGGCAGGATGGAATTTGAACAAAACATTCAGGTTCTAGCTTCCCACTGTAGATGGGAGCAGTGATTCTTCCTTAATTCAGCAGGCTGCAGAAGTTCATTCAACACTGTCAGGTTCTTGGATAAAGTCAGAGTAATTATTTTAGCTAAATTACATGGAACCTTTGCTAATCTGGAAACACACCCATGCTTTAAGGTGAGGGAAGCAATGAAAGGGGATGAGAACACTGACAGAGGAGAATCTGGGGAGGATAGGAGTGTGTGAGTAGTAGGCTGTTTCTGTTCCCTCAGTCAAGCCTCTGCCCCTTCCTCTGAAATGTTCTGTTCAATGTTGATAGAGCTGAGAAATCTCCTCCTCTCTTGGCAGGTCTGTAAATACGACTATGTTGAGGTTCGTAGTGGGTTGGCTTCTGACTCCAAGCTTCATGGCAAATTCTGTGGCTCAGAGAAGCCTGAAGTAATCACATCGTATGGCAACAACATGAGACTGGAATTCAAATCAGACAACACGGTCTCCAAGAAAGGCTTTAAAGTTCACTACTTCTCTGGTACGTGGCTCTATTCGTTTACTTGGTTACCTGTCCCTTCTGACTGAACCTCTTGTTTTGAGGGAATTTTCTTCAACCTCCTGTCAAATCAGGCAGAGCCTGACATGGTTATTTTCATCTGAAAACCATGGTGGCCCTCTGCTGTGTCACTTTTCATCTCAGTTTCTCAGTGTAGTGTTTGGTCCAATTTCATAGTGTAGTGTCAACAAGATACATTGATGAAATCCATACCTCCAGTCCTTCCACAGCAGGAAGCGATGGGGAACCTGACCTGAAACTAAAAGAGTTAGAAAATTTCCAAAAGTCTTCTGTCTAGCAATCCTTCCCATCAAAGCAGTGCATGCTGATCCTCTGTTCTGAATCCATAGTAGCTTTTGGTGTCAGTGATGTACCTTCTTGGCAGGCAGCTCTGGGGGTTAATAGTACATTGTATGGAAGTGGAAATTAAATTTCATGCTGTGTCTTCACCGAGGGGTATTAATGTTTTTGAGGAGGATGATGAGGCAAAATGGCCTTAAATTAAACAGTTGTGGGGTAGAATCAGGCCTAAGGGCTTGGCTAATTAAATCTCAGGAAGGATGAGGTGGGGTATGTTTCGTCTAGAAATACATTTGAGGGTGAGGAGACAGATGAAGTTAATGAGGTCAAGGGAGGATATTGGTCCAAGAAAAATTGGAGATAAACTGCTCATAAATTAAATTGGACTGGAAACCATAAGCAGATTCTATGTTCAGAGCACTGAGATTCAAGACTTTATAGTCCTGAACACAAAGGAGTGAACATCCACTGGGGCATATTTCAGTTTCATGGAGCAGCTCATACCTTAGATCACCTTTTCCATCTGCCTGCTTGTGCTCTTGGAAAAGAGCTATATAAAGATGGAGGCTCATCAGAGCATGTAGAAACGTGAAAATATAAAGACTGGCCAGTGGATATTTGCCTAGCCTAGTGAATTTGTGTGATACTTTTCCTGGACTCTGTTCTAAAAGAATGACACATTGCTATATGTTTCTTTTAACCTATGGCACTTCTCTAGGTTAAAAGAGGTATTTAACTACTCAAAACCTACATTATATAATAAAACCCATTTGCAATGCACTTTATGGAATAAAGAACAATCGAAGAGAGTTGTATCTGGGCTAAAAAGCTGACTGGACTAATGCAGCAACAGAGGTTGGATGCTTGCACTGGTATCTGCCAGTCTGGGTATGGCACTCCCAGCTGGCAACTGTGGTGGTGTGTTTCTCATTGTCAACTCAGTGCTTGTTGGTTTGATCCTGCCCAGACAAGGACGAATGCTCCAAAGACAATGGTGGTTGCCAGCATGAATGTGTCAACACCTTTGGTAGCTACACATGCCAGTGCAGAAATGGGTTCATGCTGCATGATAACGGCCATGACTGTAAAGAAGGTAAGGTCCTTACTCCTTGCTCTCAGGAAAGACAAGGTGCTTTAAACATAGTTTGCTCCAGGATGCTTTTGTGCCAGGCATACCATGTTTGTACCACGTGCCGGTCTGGGGCCCTGAAAAGCCCCAGTTAGCTGAAAAACTACCTAATAAAAGGAAGAAGGAGACCTGTTTTCACTGCATCCATTCCCCAGTCTGGCCCTCTGTATGGCCATGGGGGATGGACAGGGGGAGGGCAAGAAGTTGGCTTAGCAAAAGGATTGCTTGTGGGACATCATGATTTGACTAGTCACTGCTGCTTCAATTTAATTATTGGGTTTGAGTCAGAAGATGAAGGATGAGCTGATCTAACTGCTTGCTTGCTGCCAAAACTACCCTTCTTCCTGCACCCTACCCCTACTGTGTGCAGCAAAGGCCTTCTTGTGTACGACCTCTGGTCTTTTTCTGGTCTTCCAAGTTGGCAAAACAACTCAAGGCTGAGATAGCATCAGAGTCAACAGGGTTGGAGGGGTTGGATACCATGTCACTGGAAACAGGGCAGATGAGATTGAGAAGCAGGAGAATACATGTCGTGGTTTAAACCCAGTCAGGTAATTCGTTCGCTCACTTCCCCCCCCTTTCTTGCCCTCCCCCTGCTCTCGGAGGGACGGAGAGGAGAATCAAAAGACTGCAACTCCCACGGGTTGAGATAAGAACAGTTTAGTAACTAAGGTATAACACAAATCACTACTGCTACCACCAGTGATAATAATGATAAAGGAAATAACAAGGGAAGAGAATACAACACCTCAGCACCAGCCGACCGATAACTCGCCCCCCAAGCCCGACCAAGCTCCGACCGATACCTCCTCCAACCCTGCAGTCTCCCAGCCCTTCTGGCTAACTCCCAGTTGCATCCTGGGCATGACGTGCTGTGGTATGGAATACCTCTTTGGTCAGTTTGGGTCAGGTGTCCTGTCTCTGCTTCCTCCCGCCTTCCCCTCCTCCCTGGCAGAGCATGAGGCTCACAAAGTCCTTGGCCAAACCAAAACATCCTTGTTATCAGCTCTGTTCCCGAGCTGAAAGTCAAAACACTGCACGACACCAGCTACCAAGGAGGAGAAAAATGACTGCTACTGCTGAACCCAGGACATTATCCACCCCTTATTCCATACCATTCACGTCATGCTCAGATCCCACATTTTCAATATACCATCACTCTTATCTTAGTGCATGGACCAGTCCCTATAAAGCTGCTGAGTCCATCTGGTCCATGATGTCAGTCTCCATCTCTTGTAACAGTCTTCCAGAGCAGGAGAGACTGTGTGCAGTGTTCACACTCGTGAATAACTAGGGCAATAGTGTCCATTGTTAAGTCCACCCCTTGATCATGAGTCCATCTCTGTGTTGCATCTCTGCTCTGATGGCCTGAAGTGCCATGGGCCCACCAGGCTTAAAATAATTCACTGTCCCCTTCAGCAGTTTCTGCAGCTTGCTGCTGGGGACTCCATACAGCTGCCTTCCATCTCCGACGCTTCCAAAGCACTGGAGGGGCCCAGTGGACTAGATACTTGCCCATACTGTCCCACACACCCTGCCACTCATGACTGTCCAGCCTTGGGGAAAACCTCTTGGTCCCCCTATATTGTCGTCTAACCCCAGACAAGACCCAAACCTGACTCTGCTTAACTTTTGAGATCAGACAAAATGGTTGTGGGTAGAACACAGCCTGTGTGTGTGCCGACATGCTGATCCCCATCACAATCAGCAGGCAGGTCCCAAGGATACCCAAAGGCCATTCGAAACCTTCAGAACTCTCAGTTGATGCTGCTGTACTTGTCACTGGGGCTGGTGTAGCTGCTGTGCTTGCCGCCTGTCCCACCACCAGCTTCTCTTTTCCTGAGTCCAGCTCTTCCTCCTCTGCCTTGCTGGGAAATGCTGCGTGGTCTCCTGCATCCTCCTGGGGCTCGGCGGGCGGCTTCCGGGGAATGCTCTCGGCCGTCGCAGGCCTCGGCTCGGCCGCGGGGCTCGGCTCGGCCACGGGGCTCGGCTCCTCCGCCGCCTTCTCCCGCTGCTCGGCAGCCGCCTCCTTCCTCTCCTCGACCGCCCCGACCTCCCCCACCAGCAGCCGTCCCCGCGCGGCCTCCGGCCCCGCTCCCGCCGCCGCTTGGTCCCCGGGGCCGCTCTCCCGGGCCGGTTCGGCTGCCGCCGGCTCCCGGGGCCGCTCCCCCTCGGCTCCCCGCAGCCTCACGAAGATGGAGAGTAGGGTGAGGGCCAGGACGGTGAAGAGCAGCCGGACGGCCAGGCACAAGTCCACGGCCACGTCTGTCCCGCCCTGCTGCTGGAGCCCGCCCGTATTACAAGCCATTGCCATAAAGCACAGTGAGACAAGAACCTTAGCCCAGGCCCCACACTTGATAAACACTAACACAGCAAATACTGGCTCTACGTAAGTTACAACATTCTGAAGCTGTGAGATCAACAAGAACAACTCTGAGAGCCAATAAATCAGCATTGTGACGAGTGACTATTAATCCGGTCAGATCTGTTCTTATCTCAACCCTTCGTGCCCCACCTTGGGCGCCAAAAAGAACTGTCGTGGTTTAAACCCAGTCAGGTAACTCGTTTGCTCACTTCCCCCCCCCCCCCTTTCTTGCCCTCCCCCTGCTCTCGGAGGGACGGAGAGGAGAATCAAAAGACTGCAACTCCCACGGGTTGAGATAAGAACAGTTTAGTAACTAAGGTATAACACAAATCACTACTGCTACCACCAGTGATAATAATGATAAAGGAAATAACAAGGGAAGAGAATACAACACCTCAGCACCAGCCGACCGATAACTCGTCCCCCAAGCCCGACCAAGCTCCGACCGATACCTCCTCCAACCCTGCAGTCTCCCAGCCCTTCCGGCTAACTCCCAGTTGCATCCTGGGCATGATGTGCTGTGGTATGGAATACCTCTTTGGTCAGTTTGGGTCAGGTGTCCTGTCTCTGCTTCCTCCTGGCCTCCCCTCCTCCCTGGCAGAGCATGAGGCTCACAAAGTCCTTGGCCAAACCAAAACATCCTTGTTATCAGCTCTGTTCCCGAGCTGAAAGTCAAAACACTGCACAACACCAGCTACCAAGGAGGAGAAAAATGACTGCTACTGCTGAACCCAGGACAATACACCTGAAAGTGAGGAGGTGGATGATGTTAATGAGGCCCAGGGGAATGAGATGGTCCATTTCACCAGCTGCCAAGTTAGCTCAAAGGAGTGTAGGACAAACCCACCAGAACTATGCAGTAATACTAAAAGGTCTTGTTCAGCGAGTGAAGCCTTCCCTATTTCTGCCGTGCTGAGTGTGGGCAGAGAGGAACATGTAGGATGTTATATGGTTCCCATGTGAGATTTGTCTTGATGACTTCATCTTGTGACCTCTCTCTCAAGCTGGTTGTGAGCACAAGCTGAATGGTGCAGAAGGAGTGATGAGCAGTCCAAACTGGCCTGACAAGTATCCCAGCCGGAAAGAGTGCACCTGGGACATCTCTGCAACGCCTGGCCACCGAGTGAAAGTAGTGAGTAACCAGTGAGCGGGAGGGGAGGAGTAGGCTGGACTGTGAGGAGCTGAAGTATTTCTCCCCATACTGTGTGAGCGGGACATTGATCTCCATAGGCCCTTTTTGGGGTGCTCAGAGGAAGGCATCCCAGGAGGCTGCCTCTGGCCTGCAAAAGAGCAGAGAGTCTCAGAGAAACATGAGGCAGAGGTGAGTCTCTTGAGGAGATTGCTCTCTCTGTTAACACAAGGTGTTAACATGCCCTCCCACCTCTGCCTCTCCCTCTGAGCCACTCCGTGGGACCATATCTACATAAGGTGGTGGCAGAGCCAGTGCCCAGCCCCTCTGAGGGAGAAGTGTGAGGCCCACTTTACAGCATGGCCTGGTGCATATGGCAGGGCATGCCCAAAGCTGTGCAATGGGGAAGATAGTGCCTCGATCACTGTGCTCAGTGGAAGTAATACTGAAGAACTGCCTATTCAGTGTGCTAGGCAGGATTTCCAGCGGGAAAAATGTGAGCATATAAGACTTGCTGATGAAAACTGTTGTCGTGCACCCATGTGAGGCAGCAAAGCTGCACATTCATATGAAATTCTGAGCTTTGTCACCCTGAGGTCATTCTTATCTGAAAGCACACCATTCTAGTTTAGTCTGTGGGAGGAGTGGGACAGACATATCATTTGACCTGTTTTTCATTTGTTTTCATACTCTGTTAAACTGCATACTCAGATTTACAAATGTCTGTTTTAATCCTCCTTATTCTTGCTGTAGACCTTCAATGAGTTTGAGATTGAACAGCACCAAGAATGTGCCTATGACCACTTAGAAATGTATGATGGGCCCAACAGCAAATCACCTGTCCTTGGCCGTTTCTGTGGCAGCAAGAAGCCAGACCCTGTAGTGGCTTCTACCAACAAGATGTTCCTCAGGTTTTACTCTGATGCTTCTGTGCAAAGAAAAGGTTTCCAGGCAAAGCACAGCACAGGTAATCTGGTTGCCTGCCAATACCCCAGTGCGATAAGATGTCATCAAGTCTCACCGCATTTTCTTACCAGGCAAAACTAGACACACTTTTCACCCAAATAATCTTAGCCTGATTTTTAAGTGATTGTGTATTGTGCTGACCATTTCCCAGACCATTGTTGGCACCATACCATAAATGCCAGCTTCCTTGTCAGTTTAGAGGTCTCTTGATATCAAACATTCCTGCTCATGTTCTTTTGTTTAAACTGGAGGTGTTTGGTTGAGCAGCAACCCCTTCTGTTCCACATCAACCATCAGAAAATGAGATAATGCAACTTAGTCCATGTACTGGCCCAGATCAGAATTTCAGCTACGGGACAAGCACAAAGACCATGTGAAGTCTTCCTTTAAGCAATTGCTTTCTAAAATAATGCTGTTTTCTAAAGTACAATGTAGCAGGAATCTCATCCTGCTAGTTATAGCTGGTCACTTCTTTCCATGCATGTTCAGTACCCAAAAATCCAAGCTCCTGTACTCTATGTGGGTCATCAGATTCATGGGTGACTGGAGAATTCACTGGTTTATGATAGTTTGTTGCAGTGGTTAATTACCTTCCCGGTTGTACATACACTTCAGGCTGGAGGTCTTCTCTCCTCACATCTGGCCTAAAAGTGGTAAGATAAATCCTTGTTGTGAGGTAAGGCCTTTGAGAGACTGGTTTGTGTCCTTTTCTTCCAGAATGTGGTGGGCTCTTAAAGGCTGAAGTACGAACTAAGGAGCTGTATTCCCATGCTCAGTTTGGGGACAACAACTATCCAGGTCAAACCAACTGTGACTGGGTGATTGTAGCTGAAGATGGCTATGGGGTGGAGCTGATATTCCAGATATTTGAGATTGAGGAGGAGGCTGACTGTGGGTACGACTACATGGAAATTTATGATGGTTACGACAGCACTGCACCCCGCCTGGGACGCTTCTGTGGCTCAGGGGTAAGCTGTTGTGGTGGTGATTTCATAGGGATAACTGGGGTTGGCAAAGAAGAATACTCTTGTACCTTTTTTAGAGAGGGGCACATGCACAAACTGGTGATGAGAATGCCTTGTGTGTCTGGGTTTTGCTTTTTCCCCTACTGCTGCAGATAACAGCCATTATATCTGATGCACAGAGTTGATCTGAAAACCTTGCTGACTGCTTTGCCCTTTTTAGCCCAGGTCCATGTGCAGCAGCATGGGACTGCCACTGAAGTGTTGTGTAAATGTGGGAAACTTCTTCCAAAGGCCAGTTTCATCCTCAGTCACTTCCAGCCTGAAGCCACATCACATTGCAGCTGCGCTGTGGCAAAGGGTGGAAGGACTTGCAGAGCTGCGTGTTAACTCCAGGATGATGTGCTGTCTCCTGAACTGTTATCTGTGTCCCTGTTAACAGGAATGACTCTGTAATAAGTATTGGTGTGTGGTTTTTAAAACCAGCGAGTATGACTTCTTTAGGTCTTCAGCAATTAAATGGAGCGGGTTCTGAATGAATTTAAAGAGAGACATCAGGGAGCACATGTGTGGAAGCATTCCTTGCAAACTGGGGAGATGATCTGAAACATAAAAGATAGCTTGGTGTGAAGAAGTTCAGGGCAGCAGGGTAGCAATCTACCTACCTGCACACTGACAAATGGAGAATGGCTGAGAAAGAGTAGGTCCCACAGAGAGTACAGGGAGGCAGGGAGGTTGGAGCAGGTCACAGCAGTCGGGGAGATAACCAGTGTTATCATGTAAGATAAGGAACTAAGTTATATTTTGCTGCTAATGAACTCTGGGAGAATCTCAGTTGTTGAACGCAGTCCAGTTGAATTGTGCAATTTCCTGAAAAGATAAGGACAAATTAAAGCAAACTCAGAAGACTGAAAAAAACCAACAAACAAATCCAAACCCCAAAACAAACCAACCAACCAAAAGAAAAAAAACAAAAAACAAACAGGTGGAAGAACTGGGACTGTAGAGTGACTGATATCAGTTTTCAAACATAAAAGGCAAGCATACAAAGAGCAAGGGAATATGCTCAGGAAGTCAGAGCAGGGCAGGAGGTACTGAGCACTCAGTCTTTGTGCTTAATGGCCAGTCTGTCTTCACTGTGAGCTTAAACTCTAGCATCATAGTGCAGACAGTTATATAGCCTGCAGATTTGACCACTGTGTCTTCTTTCCTTTCCTGCAGCCTCTGGAAGAAATCTACTCTGCAGGGGATTCCATCATGATTCGATTCCACACAGATGACACCATCAACAAGAAAGGCTTTCACGCCCAATACATAAGTACCAAATTTCAGGATGCATTGCACATGAGAAAGTAGTTTAACTGCTCCTCACAGACATTCCCTGTCTGAAGACTGAAGCATTTAACTGTGATCTTTGGTGGATTTTTTTCCTTTGAAGCTTCTGTGCACCTGGCCAAAAGCAGTGTACAGTATTTTCTGTAACTAAAACTAAATCCAGTCTCAAAGGTTTGCCTTTGCGATTATTAGTATGACCCTTTCTTGTTAACATACCCAGGACCAAAAATTGTCTTCTAATCATACCTGTCAGGGCATAAACATTGTATTTTGCACAGCTTGCCATGGGGCTGAGTGAAGATTGAGCTTGAATTGAGAAAACCCTTCGTCTCTTGTGTGTCCTGTTTCTAGGTGGCATTTCCTAAGCATCCTGTACACACAAGCTGTCTCAACGTATTTTCTGGAGCAGGTGATGTGGACAGCCACCCAGTAGAAATTTCTCAAAGGAGTATATAAGCTCCCTACTCTCCCCTACCAGCCCAAAATACTCTGTGCAATAAGTGAACAATGAGATGGCTGGAACTCCATCACTGCTTCTGTCCTGTCTATTTATTGTCTTGGTTATTGTGGGTTGAGAGCTAGGCAGGGGCACAGAGACAGTCTCCTTAGGGCTGCTAACTACTTGGATCACGGTGAATGAGAAGGGCCCAATGCCTGAATTGCAGTAATTGTCACGGTGTATGTTGAATGGAAGTACTTCAATGCAGTGGCCAAGGGAAGGGTGGTAGCTGACAGAAAAGTGCTGTGGTGAGGTGCAAGGCATGACTGTGTGACAGTGGCAAAGCTTAGTAATTAGAGCGCTGACAGCATGCTTCAGTTATACCACCAAGCAATGCAACTCAGAGAGCTGTAGCAGCAGTTCAGGCCTTATCTGAAATACAGAATCTCTCCTGCTTACTCCACCCACATTAGCTTTCTTAGCCTTGTTTATACTGCTTGCTTTCCTGAGTACCACTTCCCTGGGAGCCCTTCCTTTCTACAGCTAAGCTGCTCTCTCCAGGGCTCCCCACTACAACCTAGGAGTGCTGTTCAACATCAGCTAGCCAGAGCATCTCACCAGAGGAAATACTGGGCCAGAGGTAGTCATGGTGTCCATGAGGCAGAGGGACAGAGGCCATGCTGCAGGTCAGCTCTGGTGAGCTGGTGAAACCTGTCAAATATGTGTGAGCTCCAGGCATGGGACTAGGAATGGGAGAGCTGTGCTGATTTCTGCTTCCTCCCAGCTCTTTGCTGGCTCATGGCCCAGTCTCTTAACTTCATGGCAGGGTTACAAGCAGGATGGTGACTAAAGCACTTTGAGCTATAAGGCTCAGACATGCTCTGTGTTGCAGTTATTTATGTACATAGAAGCTACCAAGCCATGAGCTTGCAGAATTAACAGGTAGCTTGGCACTTCTTTGGGAAAAAGGTAGTGAAAACTCTGCTTTTGAGGAAACCACTGTAAATTGAACTGTTGCTATGGGGAGGGGGCGTGGGGGGTGGGGGAGGAAAAGAAGAAAACGACTTTATTCTGAATGATATTTCATTAAGGCACTCATGGGCAATTCTGAGCTAAAAGCTGCGGTATGTTAGCTTTAATAAAGTATTTATAATCCATGGATTACTATGTTTACATAACCAATGTACTGTCAGGCTCCGGGGTGAAACCTCCTCTCTGGTGTATGACTGTGGAGAAATGTAGGGCCAGCACTAGGCAGGCACAAATGGCATTCCTGGAGATGAGGGCATTTCCAGATAGATAATAAAATAGACCCAGCCCTCTCCAGAAGTCCTTGAACAGAACATGGTCAAAGTATTGTGAATATTAGGAGAAGCAAATGCATGAAAATATTTTCTTGCTTAGAACAAGAAAAATAAAGTAATTTATACACACACACACAAGAATATATGTATATAAAATGTGCATGTAGAAGACCAGTAGTCAAAGCCTTAATAAGTGTCATGTGAACGATACTGTACCATTGACTATAGCTTTATTGCAGGCTGTATAAAGCCACGTTTTGTTTTTTAGCTCTGTTTTGTTCCTCTTTTCAAATGCTATGGCCTTTTTACAGGCAAGAACTCTGATCTCAAGTTGTTTGATCATGCAGGTCTGGGGAAGTGAGCTCGGCTAGATAGGGTCTGCAGTAGTCCTTCTCTTCCTTGCCCCTGTTCAAGCAAAACCACAGTGACTCGGGTCTGGAAATAAAAGCATGACACTGATCCCTGTGAATGAGAAAGAAGTTTCAGGTGGTAAGCAGTGGTTCAAGTTTCCTGGCTCTCTAATGGGAGCAATGACTCCGGAGAGAAGTGACCGTAGCAGCTTCCCATGTACGTTAACATCTTTGTTCCATGTTCTGCCATCTTTCCCAGACTGGCTCATTGCAGATGCCTGCAATTCTGTTTGACAGATCTACAACGCTTAGCATTCATGCAGGTGTCTCTTGTGACAGTGTGCTTGCAGCTGTTGTACTGTGCATTTCAACCAATGATCTATGTAGAATATTTCTGCTGTACTGACTGGGCTTAACAGTCAATAATTCTAAATGTTTGAAAGTTTCTTCGTAAAAAAAAAAAGAAAAAAAATGTCGGTCCCTCTAATGTGTGTAAATGTACCCTGGTCTTTGTGTGATTTTACATTTCACTAACTAAAATAATTTTTTAAGAGGGGGAGGAGAGGAGGGTATGGGGGCAATCACAAATGTACCTGTGCCCATAATGAGTCTCTGCATTCATTAAAGACTGTGGATTTTGTTGCATCTTGTGTTGTGTGCATGCATTTACTACTTCCTCAAGGGGAGGGAATTTTTTAATACATTCCTTGTTCTGCCAACTGTTATTTGTGTCTACTGCTAATACCAGATGGGATTTACCCTCTGCAGGAAACAACTTTCCCTTGAGCCTTTAATTTTATCTTGGCTTTTGCAATCAAGATAGCATTTAGGAAGTGGGGCAAAGGAATAAGTTGATCAGCCAAAGGGCTACATTGTTGTTGCAAGTTCTGCACTCATGCTTTATTAGGCTGAGATTCAGGTATGCAGTAATTAAGCATCAGGAATTTGGGAATAAGTACATAAGTAGACGTTAAAAGAGGAGGCTTATTTACCACACTACAGGGGATGGTCCCCAAGACTCTGAAGCGTGAAACTCCTGTGCAAAGGGCAGCAGGATGAGTATGAAGCAGATGTTCCTTACTGCAAAGCTGTGGTCTGTACTCCCACTACAGTAGCTGAACGTTCAGTAGCTGGGCAGCACTTAGCATGCTTTTCTTTCTCTTTCTGTCCTCTGCTTGATGTCTGTCCTGCTTGCTAAGGATGTCTGTGTTCCTTCCCCAGTACATGTGTTTCCCACCACCAGATTTCCTGTGGTGTGATGAAGGAATAAGCATCCCCATGTAGCCTCCTGCACCTATCATGGCACAGTATGACCTTGGAATGAGGCTGCAGTCAGGTCAGCAGGTGGACATAATTTCCAAAGTCAGGACCAGCAGCCTTCAGTTGCACAGAGAGTTACACTCCAAAGCAATGCTGTAGCATTAGAAATTACACAGCTCAAGTGAAGATGGTGGGAAATTGGAGGTAAAATAGAAGGTGGAATATGAACTGGAGTCACATCTGCTAGAGAAACAGAGACATTTGCAATTGCAGTGACAGATTCTTACTGTGTGCACAATCTATCTGTTGTATGTGTAAAGATCTTTTGCAGGCTTATATCTTCCCTGCTGTTCAGCTATCATGTTCCCTTAATGTCTCTTCCCACACTGATTGCCTGCCATCAGTGCTGTGTAACATGGCAGGTCCTCATTTTCTCTGTTTACTTTTAGAAGTAGGACTTAATTTTTCAGAAAGCACCCAAGGACCATCCAGTCACTATGTGTGTGTTGCTGAAGGAAATATCCATTGTCTGCCAGAAGATGCTTCATCCTTTAAAAACATGAGTACCGAGTAGTACAGTTCACTTCAAAGAGCAATGCCTCTGATGCGACAGGCCGTTTGTCTCAGCATCAAGCCAGCGGAAATATTCCACTTTGTTCTGGCATTTCCAGCAAATGTGCTCTGGCAGATGAGGTGCTAACCTTAGAAAGCAGAAACAGGATTCCTGTGCAACTCCTCTGTGGCACATACTAAACATGCTCTGGGAGCCAGGAGCGGTTTTATTTGCTGTGGGGCTGGCAGAGAAGAGGCGGAGTCCTCAGCATTCTGAAGCCCCGCTTCCCAGGTGCATGCCAGACCCTGCCCTGGCTGGGACCTGGCTCTAGTCAGGTGTGCTGTGACCTAGCCAGGTTGTCTGAGTCAGCCCAAGAGAAGTGCCATTGCCTCTTCCTCTTTGCAGGTCTGCCGTTCAGTTTTTAGCAGGAAGAGAAAGTCATCCTAAAAGGAACACTAACCCTGGTGTTGGGCAGTCTGCTGTTAACACGTGCAGGGATTTCTCAAGGAGAAGAGTGAAATGGTGAGTGGGAGTTGTCCTGTCAAGTTGGGTCTTGTTTGAATGGAAGTGCAGTAGGGAGGTCAGAGTGCAGGAGAGGTGAGGCCACCAGACAGCTAATCTAATCTGCTGGATCAATAGCTCCCTGGGAGTGTTTAACCTTCCCTGTTCTTTGCCCTGACCAGATCAATGAAGATGGCCCCTTCATTAGATCTGCATTTTTTTTATGGTGCAACTAATGGTTTCTGACACCTGCTTGGGTTTTAGCATCCGCCCCAGCTTTTCTCTCCTGGAATTATTGCCTGGTTTTGGGGCAGTTGAAGAAAAGAGGAGGCTTGTGTCCTGGATCATGCAATGGGCCCTTCTTAAGGAGATTTCCTGTCCTGGGAGATGGGACCTGCTGAAACACACAAGCTCGCTGTTTAGAGATTGCCAGGAGAGAGTGGCTGGGAATGAAATCTCCTTCCTCCCAGCAGTCAGCTGGCTCTGAGGCTAACACAGCATTCTCCTCTGAAATGTAATAATTAATTAATTCCATGAGTATTCATGGAAAACATGCTCTCAACAGATCTTAGCTCAATAGCAGAGCTAGGAGAGCACAGCAAAAAGTTACTTGCTTATGGCATACAAACAGAAATGATAGATTAGTGGCTTTGGTCTCTCTAACCTCTGTTGATCTTCTTTCACTTCCCCATATTGGTCCCCTTGGGATATTCCTTTGTCTCCCTCCCACAGCCTTACCCAGTGAAAGACAGCCTGTGTTGCCTCCATCCAAGAGCTGGTCAGGTGTTACCTCTAGAGCTGTATAGGCACAGAAGAGGAGATAGTCGCTGCTCATGAGCAATTGAATTTGAACAAGTGTGAGAACAGCTACAGGAAAGGGAATACTATCTATATGTTGGAAAATAGATGCTTAGAGGTGGAAGCATCTGTGGTAAATCTGGGGAGTAAATCAGGAGTATGGGATCACTGGGTATGTGTCTTAACTGCATTTGCCCATCTCCACTCTACTCCCTTCAGTGAGAAGCTCTCTTGACTGAGCTGCAGGGTCCCCATGATGCTGATTTTGGCTGGGGAAGACACTTGTCTTCTTGTGGTCTCTCCTGCGTATAGGCCCGCAAGATGCTACAAGTTACTGAGTGGCAAAAAGGGAGAGGGAAAGGTTGCAATGTTTGGTGGTTTTTAACCTCAGCTGCAGTATAAGGCTTTCTCTTCCTCAAGATATGCTCTTGACAGGCAGATGCTGTAGGTAGTCCTGCCCGGAAGCCTACCTGACTCACATCAGGGTCACTGATACTCAGAGCCTTTTAAACATTACTCTGGAGTAGTCAGGGCAATGTATGAGGAAAAGCAGGGGCCCTGCAGGCATAGAGGGATATCACAATATCGAATTACTTTCACTTTACATTTAGAAATTTCAGAGCAATGATCAGGAGTTTTAATAGGAGTATTACAATTGCCCTTCCTTTTTGAAATAAATAAATTAGAAATCAATAGTAATTTTCATGTAAAGCACATACTTGATTCTCCTGACGTGGCTAGCATACAAACTTGCATACTGATCCATTTTTGCAAGTGACTTGAGACAATGTGTACAATGCGCACAATTGAGAGAAACAGCCTGTTTCTCAAGTGTCTTGCTGTGGCTTTCCATATTTGCTTGTTAGCAGGTGGGACACTGTAGCTTCCAAATACGGTGGTCTTAGGATACCCCAAATCCTGCATTTTGTAATTAAAGGCCATTAGAGCAAAGCACAATTGCCCGGTACCCTCAAGTCACCTATTGAAGATTTAAGTGCAGAACCAGGCTTTTGCTTTAAATAAGGTCTGACTTAATGTGGTCTGTCTGTTAGTGTCCCACCTTAAGAAGCTAAATATTTAACCCTGGTCTGGAAGTGTGATTGAATAAGCAAGGAAAATAAATAACATTTCTACTCAAAGCAAGGGCTACTAACCAGGTTATTGTAACAGACCTGTTAAGCTGTCAACTTAAATTTGTAAATAGCCAGTTGCACACACAAATATAGCTTCACAAATAACTTGAGCAAAGTGACCATATGTAGATGTTATTTATGTGGCTACTTCTATTCAAAATCCCATTTTACTTGCATGCACAGTCATAAAAATAATAAAGTCCATTAACTGCACTGTCTTTAACCAAAAAGAATTAAAGAAAACATATTTATAGCTTCAGAGAAGAGGCAGGTACAAAAATCTAAGCTCAGAAGTTAACAGATCAGCTGTTCAAGAAGGTTTGTTTCAGTGATGAAGTTCAATGAAGTCACAGTAGAAAATTTGAGTGAGAAATGTCTCTGCTATATTTCATTGCCAGCTGGCAGCCTGCATGCAGCAATGCCTGCACCTCTAAGGAGTTTGAAAGAAATCCCTTTCACTCAGTGACCAGCTGCTAGCTGTGGCTGCATTCTCAGTGGCATTCTCCAACATCTGTGGCCCCGTAAGCCAAGATGTTCAGAGATTACACTTACAGTACAATGTCCACAGCTTGCATATAAAGGCCACACTTATAAACAATGCTCCAGTTAACATCTATAAGGGAGGATGAATTCCAGTTCTTTCAATAATCTCATCCCCTCTTTGGTTTTGCTGTGACTGTGGTTTTCAGCTTGCAGCACTGTGTCCCTCTCCTCTACTGCAGGACTTGGACTGAGCCAAATCTCCCATAGCTTGCTTGCATTTTGAGCCTTCCTTCTTCATCTCCTGTAATATCCAGACTGCTATTGGCAAGGTTTCATGGCATTGTTCTTGTTCTAAAGTAGCCAGGCCCTCATCAGTGCATGGCAGCAGAACTTCCTGCAGTCAGAAAAGGGCAACTTTCTGCCAGCTCCCCTTCTACTGCTGTTTTTGGGGGGAGGGGGGGGGTGTGGATGCAAAGTGAAGCTCTTTCAGCCTTTTCCTGTCACCTTCCAGAGCACCAGAGTTTCAGTTCCAAGAAAGACTCCAGCAACTTTTCTGCTTCATTCCAGTTTTATTCTTACATGTTTCTGGGACTGACTGGGCTTCAAGAATAACATTGAGCCTAACTGTCTTAAAAGAGCTGTTTCATACAGAAGTGCATGATACTTAGCCCTGGATTATAGGAGAGAAGAGGCTCCTGCACTGCTTGTCCTGATAATCAACCTCTGAAGCTCAGCTTCTCTGCAGTAGCACTCCCAACATTGTCACTAG